ATATATAATTGCACTGTTTGTTTGTTTGTTTTGTTTTGTGAGGAAGATCAGCCCTGAGCTAACATCCATGCTAATCCTCCTCTTTTTGCTGAGAAAGACCAGCTGTGAGCTAACATCTATTGCCAATCCTCCTCGTTTTTTTTTCTCCCAAAGCCCCAGTAGATAGTTGTATGTCATAGTTGCACATCCTTCTAGTTGCTGTATGTGGGACGCCGCCTCAGCATGGCCGGAGAAGTGGTGCATCGGTGCACGCCCGGGATCCGAACCCGGGCCGCCAGTAGCGGAGCGCGTACTTAACCACTAAGCCATGGGGCTGGCCCTATAATTGCATTTTTCTATTGAAGCAAATAAATATTTAAAAATTTCAAAAAACCTTATTTACCATGAAGACACACCTTCGTATTTCAACCAATGGTGTCATTATAAAATCTTCCCAGGTAAGTAAGATCAGAGCCCTCTGTACTATTAATTTTCAAAGGAAGTCAGCAGCATAGCATGAATATGAGCAAAAAAGTAATTTATGTGTCTTAGAAATACGTTAGAATAAATGTAAAGTGGCAGATCAGAGAAGAAGGTGAGAAATTTCAGAGAAACCACGGCTAATGAAGCATAAAGCTTCATTATTATTCTGTCACTTATTTGCAATTTTTCCTGACTAAATACAAATAAATGAATTCCTAATTTTAAAAATAATCTAATTTTTAAAAATATAAACCAACACTGTAAGTGGTTTCATAATCTAAAATTACAAGTCCAAATACATTGTCTTTCAAAGGAATGAGGTTAAAGAAGGTAAAACAGGTCGTCTGTCGTCTGAAAGAATGAGAGAACTGTAAATTCTCTCCAGTGGTGATGAGGAGAGATGACGAGGCACTACTGTCCACAAAACCCCAAGTGATGGTACAACTCTCCTTCTCATACTGGGTCAAGGCACCTCAAGTGTCTGATACGATTCAAATAATCCCTTTTGCATTTTAACTATGTGAACCTTCTTATTCCTGAACAATTTTGCCTTCCTAGTAATAAATGTCACCTCTTGGCCTATATTTAGCAACAGAAAAAAGATGTTTCGGTAACATCGTGAAAAAACTCATAGCATGAGAATTTTCTTTTTTTTTACATTCTGAAAAGTTTACCATCTGAATGCAAGTGTTGGAGCCAAAAACGCACAACCTCGTAGCAGAGATGATGATGATATTTTATAGATGGATGTAAAAGTCCGACATCCTCTCATCTAACAATGACTGGCAATAGGGCTAACAAGATCTGGAGGACTTTTTCAAACCTCCTCTGTCCTGTCTCCTTTATTGTGCCCTGGAGGGTGATGGGAATGTATCCTAGTGCTCAGCTGTGCTGGGGTAGGAAAGTAACAAAGCATGCACCAGGGGACAAATGTCATCCTCTTCTTGGGTGCTCTTGGCCTATTTGGATATTTTTACAGCTTATGCTAGGAGTTATAGCCACCAAAGGAAGAAGGCTTAACTAAATTTCAAAACCTGAATTACTTATTTGAACAAACATTGGAGGGAAAAGATAGAGAGCAGGGTGTAAAAGTACAACCTTAATCAGATTATAAAACTTTCACTTATTTTGTAACATATTAAAACTATTCTTGCTTTCAGGAAAAGCTCTGCAAATCTTTCAAATTTTGAATGTCTTTAATGTAACGTTAATGTGTCAATGGCATCTCCATCATTAACTCAAATATTTCAGAAACATCCTTGTACGACCACAATCATGTTCTGATCTTTTGTTGAAAAGTGAAGGAAGATGTTTACAGTAACTTTGAGAAGCACATTTTCTAAAAATTTCATGCACAGATGGACTATTATATGGTTTTCAAACTGTGCTCAGTGGAGCCCCAGCGTCATGCTCATGGACCACAGTGAGGGCAAGGTGGAGGCTGAGGGGAGAGCCAATCTGCAGCTTCTCTCCCCTGCCCACCCCCCAAGCTTTAACCAGAGTAGTTTTACTTTTATCTGTTACATATATTATGATTCAGGCAATATTTTGTTTGGAAAACTGGGTTCTCCTCTTAAAAAAAAAAAAGAGATTTGAAAACCACTCTCAGTTTAAAATTCATTATCTTTAATGCTAAGTTCAATATTATGGTCTACATAAAAAAACAGATTCTAATCACATAAAAAATAAATTACCTAATCAACGTGTCTCATTTAAAATAGCCAAGTCAGAAGCCAAAAGCGAGGAACGCTATGACCACGAGAGCTAAACTGAAAGCCAGTGTAGCATCTCAGCAGAATCTGTGCTCTGACGTGTTGAAACTTGCCTCACCAGAGTGGTTTTAACGGCGGCAGTCATCCACAACTCCTACGGAACACTAACCCCAGCTGATTTGAACAAAGAATGGAAGCTCAGACCACAGAGAAGTGATATCATTCTGACTGTGGATATATTAAAAACCCTATAGAGACCCCACAGTGTCACTCTAAAAAACAGGCCTCTACTCTCCTTTAACTGGTAAAATAATCCTTTGTGGCTTATTTCAAAAGTTACCAACTCTCTGAGATCTCCCTTTGGACCAAGTTTGTGAGTCACTCCTGTGAGTTCCTTCAGATTTCTGTAAGGAATTTGTTCAGACCATGACACTCGGAGGGCCACGGCCAAGTCTTCCTTATTTGCTTGTTCATTCCCAATAACTAGCATCTATTAACCACTTAATGAAAGCTAATTAAGTGAATAATTAAATGAAACTATGGTTTCAGGGGTAGGGATGGATATAGAAAACTAGTCCTAACTTGGAACAGACTGGCTGAACAAGGGAACCAATCTCTTCACCTTTCTGGGTCTTAGATTTTTCAGTAAAACTCAGAGAGACCATAGCTTATCACTAAGTAAAGAAGAATTAGCTAGAAATTCCATTTTCCATTTATTTTAGGTAAGAGGCAGTCATAAGGAAGGCTTCTGTATTTGTAAACTAAAAATATACACATACATATTACGCATTTCTCCAGGTAATGTAAATTTCACTGTGACTCATGATCGCCATCTGCTGGAAAAAGGTTGACATCTATTTCATTTAAAAGATGGAAGTCATAAGGCTTTTAATAACAGACAAACATACACAAAAACATACATACAACAATTGTTAACCCTATAAAATCTAATCTATAAACTCTAGGACATTCAGAGTAAAAATGTTAGGCACATTAAACACTCAACTCCAGAATTTTCTATAGTATGTATGCTTCATGTAGAAACAAAATTTAATGTTTAGAATCCATTTTCCAATATTTTGTCACTTATTATACATTAATTCTATCTCATTACCATGAGAGAAAGGGCTACATTATATTCAGGCTGTGTAGAAAAGGAGACAGGAGAAAAAGAATCATTTCGAAACAGGGTAATTTTTTTTTACTTCTCAAACGAGTAAGAAAAACGAAAGATTAAAAATCAATGCCATTAGTGCTTTAAGACAACGTGTACCTTTAGTTGGAGAGACTGAAAGAGATTATGGGCACAGTCTCATAAATAAAATATTATCTCATCATATACTACCCCAAAGACATAATCATATACAAGTATGTTAGGAAAAAAAGAGAGAAATTCAATAAGCTGATTGATAACAAGCCCCCTGTTGGGTGCGCACATCTAAAATTGGGGGCGGGGTTATCAGGTTGGAAGGTACCATACATGCTATCACAAGTCTTCTAAGAAATCAGCAGGATACAAGAATAAGTTCAATTATAAGGGAGGTCTGAGAAACAAACCAGCTCCTAAAGTGATCCCCGTCTGTTGAGGAGACAGAAGAACAGTAGCTAGAGTCACATATGGCACCTGTATAACAGGGAAAACCACCTGCGGCTGGGGCATGAGATTCCCCAGGATTAAATGGAGGGGAGGGCACGTCGGGAGAGGAAGGGTTTTGGAAAAGTCCAGGGAGGCATCGGTGGTGCTGGCTACCTTTCAAGACAGGAAGTACATAGTTTGAGAGAGAGGAAGGAGGAAAAAAATGCTGGCCTTTACTCACCCGAAGGCAAGATCAAGTGAACCGTGGCTAACAGGAAGCTTGATTCTATGCAGTACAAACATGAGTCTAGTTGAAGGAATTATGTAATTAGGAAGTTAGCTAACGGAAAGTTAAAGGTTAGAATGAAGACGCTTGAGCGGGCTAAGAGCATGAACTCTGGAGCCAGAGTGAGAATTCTGGCTAGCCCTCTTATGAGCTGTGTAATCTCAGCCAAATTACTTAACCTGTTGCCTTGATTTCTTCGTCTGTAAAACTGGGATAATTAACAGTACCGACCTCAAAGGGATGCTGTGAAGATGAAACAGGTTAATAGATTCAGGTGCTACAAACAGCAATCTGGCACACAGTAAGTACTACGTAAAAATGTTTGCTATTTTTAATTAACAAAGCAAGATTTCTTACTATTTACACAGCATCAATCATAGTGTATCCATCACTTTTTGGCTGAACAGCCTTGGTTTCTTTATCAGTAAAACGAGGATATTCACAGTCGTGACAGAAATGATGGATGTATATAAGTGAACAATGAGTGGCCGGCTATAAGCACTGGATTGTTTACTTATATATTCTTTATTATTAGTTACAGAGTCACACAAGTTGTATATTCATTATATTATTTTGTACTACATATTACACACCTTTATTAACTATTTGTACACATGCACATGTATGTAACTTGTGTGAGTGTGCATGTTTGTGGGTGTGGAGGGGGGCACACACATCTGAGATGCAGAAGCAATGGAATACACTGGCAAGGAGATTGCTAGACTAGCCTAACTTTGATCCAAAATTGTAAAAAGAGTGAAGATCTATGCAAAGTAATTTCAGAGACTTTTCAGCAAAAACTTTAACTTTGGTACTAAGATTTGTCAATGTTTAGACCAGAGGAGATTCAACAGTAAGTGGTGTGTCAAGATATTTTGATTTTTATTTCATTGGTTCCTTGAGTCAAGACTGAGGTTTTCTGGAAACTAAATCTTCCATAGGAGCAGAAGAGTCTTCCACGTACCTTTTCAATTAACTCATAACTCTCTTCGAGTTTCAGCAGCCTGTTCTGCACAGATGTCGACGCGCGCTGATAGACTGCTCGCCACTCCTGAAAGTCACTCTCTGAAATCTCAGCCACGGCAAAACATAAAGTTCTTAACCCTGAAAAAAGGTGGCATACACCCCCAACACCAAATAAGATTTAATTCAGAAGTCTGACATTTTCATTTTTATTTAACAAAGTCTCATTTTGAAAATACTGATTTGAGTCCAACATGTTGAAGTCTGATTCAAGTATGACAAAACCTTAGTGTAAAACGTATATTAATGTCCATCAATCTTTAAAATTGGCACCCTGCTTCTAATTCCCATCTCTCAATCCATTCTCCATGCCTAGAGTGGCTTTTTTAAAATCCTAATCTTACCAGGTTATTCCTTTGCTTGAAATCTTTCAATTGCTCCCCAGGACAAAGTCCAAACTCCAAAGTCTGGCTCATTCACCACACATCAGTTGTCTTCAATCTCATTCTCTGCCATTCACTTCCTACATACCAGGCTCTTTGCACATGCTGGTCACTTTTTCTCCATTCCGCCCTCTTCAACTCCCTCTGCTGTCTGCCTTGCATCTCCTTTAAGACTCAGTTCTTAAAATCATCTCTTTGCATCATCCCCCTCTCACTCAGACCCCATAGGCAGAAATCCCCAAATACTCCTATGGCGTGAATGACAATGTTTCATATTGTTTTTCCTGAGGTTCTCCTACATTAACTTAAAGCTCCTGGAGGGCAGGGACTTGGAGTTCTTCATATCTGTAACTCCAGTACTGAGCACAGTGGCTGGCTCGTAACAGTGGCTTCATAGATGCTTACGATGGAAGAAAGAAAGGAACCCCAACGGGGCCTATTGGGAGAGCCATCTTCCTTTTACTGGGATATATGGTTGTATTTATTACTGCTCTTCACCCCTGTAAATTTGTAGTATAAAGAGTCTAAAAAACTTGAGGGATAGAGACAAAGAAAGAATACCCATCAAAAACACCCTGGGAAAACAATCAAAGCTGATGTTTGAGGTGACCTACTCTCAGTGCTCGGCGCCTGTCAATTTTGTAACTCACTTGGAGGCTACTCTCAGCAGAAAAATAATTGATGGGTTAGAACAAGAAGAGGTAAAAGCATTTGTCAGCCACAACAAGTGCCATTAACTAGGTTCCTGAGAAGACAATGCCCTCATTCAAAGTTGTTTAACTCGCAGAACAACTAGGTGCCAGTGATCTCAAGCCAAATAAAATATGGCCAGGGAACATGTCAGAAACAAGAAGAACACAGACTCTATCTTTCAAGAAAGAAGCAGGGTTGTCCATTGCCCAGTCACTGAGAGTGGAACTTAAATCGGTGGAACCGTATTAGGATATGTTTTTTTCTCTTGGAAACTTGGCTGGAAACTTACTCTGGGGTAGCCATGGAGTACAAGTGTGTTCAGCCTAGGGCCAGCAAGAATGGGGCGGGGGTGGAGGCCAAGCCAGTTCGAATCTGTCTAGGAGCTGGAATATCTTTAACATCACAACCAGAGAGGAGAAAGATGTTCCCTTAATCCTCCTCAAAAACAAGAACCCACACTGTTTGCTGGGTAGGTTGTATCTCCCAAGCCTGTGCACCTTAAGGAATCTGAACTCTATGAACCTGTATCTCCAGGCTCTTCCATTTTTGGAGGAGAACTGGGACAAGGTTCTTTATGTCCTTGCTTTTCAAAGCCTAGTGCTCTTTAAAACATTCTTATCTTTTCGCAGCTTGGATTAAGAGGAAAAAGCATTTGATCCGAGGTCAGACCTGGTGACACTGGCAACAGTTCCAGCTGAAGCCGACAAGAAGGAGAACTTGAGTGGGAGATTCAGATACAGCTCTGGCCACCTCTGTTAAGCTCAGATACAAGACTCTACAGATTCTTGTAATAACTGACCCTAAGGTATTAGGGTCTCACGTCCTTTTAGCTGCTCTAGATCATCTCCCTAGACCATGCACTGTTTTGTCGTACAGATCATGGATTTCAGTAGCACAGACAGACAGACAGAACCGAGCTTGCCCAGCATGGGTTCTCAGGCCTCCCTCACAGCCTGGCACGTGGTAGGGGCTTAATAAAAAGTCTTCAGTTGAAACTGAATTGAATATTTTAATAGTTACATAGGTGTCTTTATTCTCCTCTTGCACAGTCAGATGAGAATACCCAGTTCTTTGACTCGTTTCTTTTCCTTCTGATTGAGATACAAAGCCAAGTATTTAAACTATAAATCAACATCCACTCTAAAAAGTGAACGGATTTATAGACCCCATACCCCCTAAAATGTGGGGACAAAGTCTCTCAAAATTTTAATAAGTACAGTTTTAGGAAAGCAAAATAAAAATACTGGGTGGGAACAGCATATAGCATAATCTAAACTATCCGACAATAATTATCTTACTTTAGGAATCTCTAAGTCAAATAATAACGATGATCCCGCAAAACACCAGTAGCAAATCATTTCTTTTTATTTTAATCATGCTTTCTTGCCATATTACACTCACCTTCTGTAGCAAACTGCTCTAAATGTTTTAGGGTAATTTCTTTGTATTTTGAAGTCTCTGCCAGTCGATCATAAATTACAGTGTCCTAGAAAACAAACAGAAGGTATAATACACTTAAACTAAGCATTCGGAGTTGAATAAGTTGATGTTGGCAACATGATTAGCCCCAAATCAGTATAAAAACAAGCCATCACTTTTAGCATCAGTTTTACAGCACAAAATATTTTTCCCTGATAACACTGTTTCCCTTATGACACTAAGAAATAAAGTTCTAGTTTTATGTTTTTATCTTTTTCCTTTGCGAATAAATCTGTAGTTACTCCAACATCCAAACTCTCACATTTTATCAGTACTTCCCTTACCTCCCACGTGCTGTCAGATCTCCACCCCGGCCCAGAAGGTTTTGTGGAACACCGCAGTGTGCATGGGTGCTACAAGGAAGAACGGTCCAGCACTCAAAAAGTCTGGGAAATGTTGCAACAAACGAAGCTCATAAACTTGACCTGCTGCAACTTCTTAGAGCCTTTAAAACGCTAATGTGCACGGTGAGTCTCTAAGGGGGCAATATGGTAGGTGCCCCAAACTTATTCACCGTCAAACCTTTTAGGGATTATCACATCTTTATGGGACTGACGCTCACAAAAGAACAAACTTTGAGAAACACAGAACTAAATTCACTGAGCAGGCTGGTGGGTACAGTGGGAAGAACCTTGGACAAATGTAGCACTGCCTTATAGCTGAACATTTCTGAGTGTGTCACTTTAGCTTTAAGACTCAATTTACTTAGTCTGTAAAATTCAATTACTGGATTATCTTTCAAGTCCTTTTCAGCTTTAACTTTATGCACCACTTACATTTCTCTAGTTTTTGCCCCTTTATAAACTGCCTATTTTTCTTTTAGTTATTCTTTGGCTTGGGTTTAACGTTTTAAGAAGTTTAGTATTTGGCCTTCGTGGTTTTATTAGACCAGGAAAAAATAAATCATTTACCTGCAATTACTTTCTCAGTGGTATTACCCATTTTGGGTTTCTAGTCTCAGGGCTGAGATTTGGAAGCAAACTAATGGAGTATGATTTAGAACCCTTGAGAGAAACAGAACTTAGTGACCTCAGAACAGATGGAATATTCCAGGCCCCAATTATGAATTTCTTTTCATTTTTCAGTGGCGGAACGGGAAGGGGGGCAAAGCAAAAGGAAATGATAATTTCCCCTCATGGCTCCTTTCTGAGAATGAAAGGTATAACTTACGAACTCTATTTTTTCCAGAGGCTAACGAAATTCTCAGTGAAATTAAAATAGGCCTTTTTAAAACTAAGAAAATCTTCTAAAAAATTAAAATCATGAAAACAAAAGGGATAAGTAATAAGTCTAAAGAGATTAAATTCTGCAACGTAGCCAAGCATTCTACTGAAAGAAACTGATGCTCAGAATAGGAGAATTTTCTACCTTTTTATAGTATTGAGGAAAGTAGGGTACAGAATGTGGCCTTTTGTATGCACCGTATAGTATGTTTTTAAATGATCACAACTGGCCATGCTTACATGTGAAAAATACATACATACAGACACCTTTTCACCCAAAGTAACACTCATTTATTCAGAGGGCTACATCAAGTATTTGGTACATTGTTAGGAACCAAAAAAAGTTTCTTCATAGGAACTAAAGCTTGTGTGTCTCCTAGGATCAGACTTGGAACCTACTGAGACTACATTTACAGAAAATCCTAACTAGACTTACTTACCTGGTGCCCTAACCCTTGGCAAGGTAAAAGTGGAAAATCTTGGTGAGGGACTGCTCTGGAGTGGCATGGCACAGTCAGATTACAGTTATTTATGTAAAGAGCTTAGGGCTTCATGATGAATAATTCATCTTAGGTGAATTTTCATTTAAAAAGTTGTTTACCTATTCATCTTTTTTTTTTTGCTGAGGAAGACTCACCCTGAGCTAACATCCACTGCCAATCTTCCTCCTCTTTTTCTATGTGAGCCACTGCCACAGCACAGCCACTGACAGACGAGTGGTGTAGGTCCGCGCCCAGGAACCAAACCTGGGCCGCTGAGGGGGAGCACACCAAACTTAACCACTAGGCCACTGGGGCTGGCCCTACCTATTCATCTTTTAGACTGAAGTTCCAATGCTGCTCTGTCCTCATCTACAGTGGCTTATACCTGGCATTGTTCAAAAAATAATGTGTTAAATGAATAAAACACTTGAGGTAGTCCTCAATCATTCTGAAATTTCACTTGTATGGAAGACCACATTAGACAATACTGCCAAAGAAAGAAAGACTGTACCACGAAATGCAAGAGTCAACAATAAGAAGGTAGCAAGTAGAAAAAAAAGAGGTCTTACATAATTACTTCTTTAAGCATTGCGATTTAACTGAAGTTATCTAGATAACCTTGCTATGAATTAGCCAACTACCATCAAGGAATCTGATCTTGCTGTCAGGGTAAACCACACGGTGAGACTGACCTGCCAGGTCAAGCGTGGGTCCCTGTGAACTGGAATGTTTGCTAAAGACGTTAGCGACATCTATACTGAAACACAGACAAATGTTTTCTGTGTTTGTGTGTGCCATTCCGATTTATCTGTACTTTGCCTCTGACATGGTGGTGAACTGCTAAAATTAACTAATTTCAGATGAGGCCTTTTTTTGCATATGGCACAAAATTTTATTTAGGGAGCCCTTAACTTGAAATTTTCAGTTACTTTAAGGTCCCTAAAGCATTAAGTGTATTAGTCAAATTTCTAATTTCGCCTCTGGTATACAAGTATTGGAATGGGATTTTTATTTTCTTAAACAAATTAAATTTTTACTTCTGTAAATATAACTTTTCCTAAACTGGGTACTATTGCAGACATAAATTGTGTATTGTATACTTTTTCCCTTTAAAAATTAACAAAGCAAGACAACCTCATTGCAGAAAATCTAGAAAAAAGCAAGAAAATAAGTCATCCATAAATACACACACAGTCACCATCTCTGTACTTTATTTTAGAACTCTTCAGTACTATCTTCCAATTCACCAACCCCACCCCTACCCCTTCAATTCTGTCTAATCTAGAGTTTATTCCATTTACTGATGTTTTTCCTTAAATTTAATTATGATTTCTAATCTATCTTACCCATATCCCCATACTCCCCCTTCCCCCAATTTCTTTGTGATAAAAAATAATTGTAATTTCTTTATCACGTTGAACACTAAACATCCTCTGTCAGACTGTTCTACACAAATGATGTCATCTGGAGTGAACTCATACTCCAGCTGTTTATGTGCTTGTTCTCTCTTCGGCTTGAGATTTCCTCATGTGTCTCTAAGTTTTACACTTGCTCTCTTCCTGTTTGCATGCATCAGAATCTAGAGGTTTTCTATACTCCCAGCAGAGGCTGGCATGAGCTTTCCTTAGCATCTTCTCATGATAGGAAGCTCACCACTGTCTTAGGCTTCAAAGAGGGGAGGCTGGCTCCCACCTGCATGTTACAGAAAGCACTATTTGCCCTCTTTGCCCCACAGAAACCAAACTCCAGCCACCGCTCCTTGATTCTAAACCCAGGGCCTGGGACTTCCACCCCACTCAGCTTGAGACTTCAGTACAATGTACCACTTTGATCTTCTACTCCTATTTTGGTTTTCAAAGATGTTTACCTTGTTTTTGAGCCTGGTTTTATCTTTCTGTTTTCTCTTTATCCTATATCCATCACTGCCATGATTTTAGAATAGAAGAGAGACATCAAAGTATGAACAGACTAGGCTGCCTTGACTGAAAAGTATTACTGATGACTTTTTAACTGACTTTTACTACTCAAGTATTCTGTTGCACTTGTCACTGTTGATTATTCACTCTGCCAAGGAATCAACAGACTCCTCAGACTCTTCTCCAAATTTCAATCTCCCTTCTTGGATCCTCTAATTTTCATCATTAGCCTCCCTCTCTTTTTATGTAAGATTTCCTTCATATGAGATCTGATCAACCCTTTGTTTTTAGTTAGTTAGGAGTTAATTCCTAAATCTGTATCAGCACCCCAGATTTCTTCCTCCATGAAATCAAGGTATCTCTGCCTTAGGGCCCAGATGTAGCTCCCAACCCTCTATTTGGTAATATATCACTTAGTCTACTCAGCCGAGTAGAAATCTGATAATAATCCTTGATCATATCTTTTCCCTCATCACCCACATGTAATCAAATACTAAGCCCTAAATCTCTGTCCTCTCAATTCTCTCTGCAATTGTCTTGGTTCCAATCCTTATCAACTCTTGCCTGGACTATAGTCAATAACCTCAACTGGCAATTCTGTATGCATCTCCTTTCTGCCTTAAATCATCTTTCTAAACGGCATCAGAATGATCCAGAAAAAAAGTACAAGTTCTTGAGCATGAAAAAAACCCATGACCTAACTCATGCCCACCTTTCCAGCCTTGCAGTCTGCTATTCTGCCAAACTACATTAGTTCTCAAATGTACCTTGCTGTTTTACATATTTATGCCTTTTTAGTATTTAGCCACATTTCACAGCCAATTTGGGAGTGGGGGGAAACAATGCAACAAGTTAACATATGCAAACCATCTCTGTGATTATTCAAAAGGAAGTCCAATGTTTTTATTTTGTATTCAATGGTTTAACTCCCCAAAGTTTCTAGGTAGAAGATTATTCAAAACTAAGAAAGGAAGGATGTGAGTTGGGTGTAAGTAAATTGGACACATATCAACCACTTAAAGGGGGAGGTCTTAAAGGCTCTCTTTATTCCCTATCACTGAATGTTACCTGTGGGATGTGGAAGATCTTTACAATATATGTTAATATTGTAATCTAATCTTCTTTTTATATATATTTCCCTGACTAGTCTTAAGCTCCTGACAAGTCTTGGGTCTTATCTTCCTTTCTCCAAAATCCAATTCAAAGTCTGGCAGATAAAATGCACATAATGAATAAAAGTTAGATGTTTGAATCAACAACCAAATGAATTCCAAAACTAAACTCATGAGACATCACAAAATAATTCTATCAAAATGCTTTAAAACTAAGGCATTCAAAAATTACATTTTAATGCTTTAAAACCAAGAAATTGAAAAACATTCTCAGCAGCAATTAAGTAGTAAGCTTGGGCTTCTTAATAAGTTCTGTTTCCAAGTTCCACGTGATAGAGCAAGGTTGTTGATTATATTTAAAATCGGAAAGTTCTATGTGGTAAGTTACCTGACTAGTCCAAGTAGACTAGGTACCTGGAAAGGATAATTCAGAAGGAGAATACTAATTTTAAGAATAAAAAAAGGCCTTGTTCAGTTGATTTCTTATTTCTCCATGAGTGTAAACATATTTTAACTAGGAAAACTCAGAATGATATATTACTATTTCTGTCAATATACCACAACTAAGCAATAGTTAGAAATTCTTTTATAATTAAAACAATGCAAGACAAATAGTAATTACCACATGAAGACATTATAGCAGTAATTGTGATCCAATTTTTTCTTTCCATTTCTATGGTCTTTAAAACATTAGATTCAAACTGGTGTGGATCACTAAATTGTATTTCTAATACAATTTAAATATATTTTCTGTATTTAATTGTCTTCTAACATATTTATATCATATAAACCTCAAATATTATGTATCAAAAGTCAAATTATATAAATAACCTAGATCAAACCTTTTCAAAGCACCAAATTTCCCAGAAGGAACTCCAGATTTTACCAGAAGAGGCTGAACACTATTACTATAAAACACCAACCAAAGTGGATGTCAGCAACTTTGTGCTAAACATCTGTGTTACATTTCCATAGCAGAATGCTTAACATATACATTATAAACCTTCATAAATCAACACCGTAAAGGACAAAAATAAAAACTTACAGCTCCTTTGCAGTAAAGTCGTAACTTCCCGGATGGAGTGCGAACAATCACCGACATTCTTTTTCTATCGCTGAAAGAAAAGAGATTTTCCATAATGTGTCATCATACTGAGAATATGCATATATACGTTTGTCATGCCTCACATATTTTAATACTCATAGTGAAAAAATAAATTTGACCAAATTATGAACCCTATCCTTCCACATATACAAACCATCCCCTGGGTGTACAGCTGGGTACCTTTGAAAGTTACACCATGTTTTTCAAAGCACTAGGGTACCATCTGCTGCCCTAGAGGAATAATTTACAAAATGGCTCCCTAGAAACCTGCAGGAGTTAGTAACCACCAGGGTAGAGGAGAGTTCAGGTTCAATGTTTTCAGATTTAAAAAATGTTTAAACTGGTATCTTTTAAGATGAATTGTATGTCATAGTTTTTATTAAAAACAGAAATGATAATCAATTTTAAGTGCATGCTTAATCACACATAAAAGCAAATACTGGCACTTTAAAACTGACTTAAGCATTCACGACTATTGTTTTTCAATAATTACTGGCAAACCACTGGCATCACATAAAAAACCTAATATATATTACAAAGCTAAGCTAATGAGCACAAACATTTTAACATTGTGTTGGCAATGTAAACAGTTTAATAAAAACTGTTAGTCAAACATACATCTTTGAACACGTTAGCAAAGAGACAGGCAGTAACACTGAACAGAAGCAGCTGGCAGAGCACTGCAGAGCACAGGCTGCATTCGGAACCAAGTGTGTATAAGCATTCTCTCCAGAAAGGAGGGGCAAAAAAGGACTTCTCAAGTCTCTGTATCTATTTGTTTTATCTTATAATGTTCGGCTGCTAACACACTGAGAAGAGTCCAGTATAAGGTAGCAGTAAGATATGGTATCATAGCATATAGTCAGGAGTTTCTTTCAGAGGTATCTAGAAATTCTTAGTCCTCTCTTTCTCCATGTATAATATCCCCATCATACTAGAACCTCTGATCTTCATCCCGTGCTTTAGGAATGCATTAATTGCCCCCCGTCCCTTTGTAATGACATCTGTATTGACTCATGCCTCTCTTAATCCAGCTTTGAGGACATGATCCCAAATTTACTACCTTCCTTGCTCTTCTCTTCTCCTGGCAAAACTCCCAAATCCTGGGTGAATGGGAGCCCTTTCTGTGGTACATTGCAGTAAGTGGACATTGCTGGAGAAAAGTCACCCAGCCACACAGATCACTAAATACATTACACCAGTGTCAACTGGGGGCTCCTTACTGCCCTGCAACCCATTACATTTTTCTAACAAGCTTGCTCTCTCACTCTCTGCAGGACTATGAACACCTTCTCCATTCTCCAATGTGCCCTGTCACTCCAGACCCTTTGAATTTTTGCAATTCACCTTGACAGAAGCCTCAGGCAAGACATCTCTATTCTTTCTCCCATCATAACCTACACATTTATCCACTATGCACCATCCTCTCTGTCTCCTTTCTTCATACGATGCAGGAAACATCTCTATCAGAGACCTTCCTATCACACGTGCTGCGAAACTTGTCCCCACTTTCTTAGCCACCTCACTCCTCAAGTCATGCTGCTCTCCCCTGAATCTGCATCTTCTGTTTCTAGAATAGATCCTTCTTATCAGTATTTAAACATGTTCTAATTTCTCTCCTATGAAACTCATGCCAAACAACCTTCCTCCCATCGAGCCACATCCCCTTTTAACCCTTCCTCTTTCCCCTCACAGCTCACCTTCTCAAGACAATCACTGTGCACACCGTCTCTACTTACCTCCCCTTCACCCCCCAGTCACTCCCATCTCGCTTCTCTCCTCACCATTTCACTGAATGGCTAAATCCAATCAACACTTTTCAATCCTCCTCCTACCCAACCTTGCAGCACCTCGGACACAGATGACGACTCTCTCCTCGAAATCATCCTCTTCTCTTGGCTCTGTGCTATTATTCTCTCTCTATCCTCTACTTCTCTAACCACAAAGCAGTCTCTTTTGCTGATTCCTCTTTTTCTAACCAATCCTTAACAGTTGGACTTACTCATAGCTCAATTCTTAGCCTTTCTTGTTTCCCGCACTCTATATTTTATCTCCAGGAGATCCAACTCATTTTCATGGCTTTAAATACCACTTACAGGCCAATGACTACCAAATCTACATTTCAGCCATAGGCTACTCTTTTATGTTCCAGGCCCTTATATCCAACTGCCTATCTCTGACACCTTTATTTGTATACCTGTAGGGCCTGGGCCTTGTTTGCTCAGCAAGAGCCCACAAGCCTATTGCAACCATGTGTGCTTCTGGCTTCCTTCTGGGCAGGACACCCAACTGCTGGGATTTGTAACAATCAGAGCTGACCAGCCCAGATCTTACCTCACCTCACTCAAAGAACATCACGTCTTAAAGGGACACAGAGCCCCTCCACGTGAACTATGGTTCCTGGGAACGCTGGTCGTCCCATGGACAGCCCCTTGGCAAGAATATAGCCTTTGTGTCCCCTGCCTACATAAGCAGCCCCCTCCCTGGCCGTGGTTGCACGTTTCCGTCCAGCCAGCTGCCACTGGACCTCCCTCTAAGTAACTCCCAATAAACCTATATACCTCGTTCACCGTCTCCAGGTCTTTTCTTTGGTCTCTCTGCAACCTATCCTGCACGGCACACCCAAGTGCGTGTGCGGCCAGACAATACCTCACAGGCATCTAAAACTGAATAATTAAAACATCTCATTCTCTGCATCTATTCCTATATCTGCCATCTGTGTAAACGGCACCTCTATCCACCCAGCTGTTCATGGCAGGGACTCTGACCCCTTCCTCTTTCTTCCTTCTACATCTAATCCAGCCCTAAGTCCCCCTGACATTCCTCCAAAAGGTATCTGGATTCTATCAACTTCACTTTATTTTCACTACCATCATCCTAGTCTAAACCACTTATGTCTTTCACAAAGACTACTTTAATAACACCATATTCACTTTTCTCACTTTCATCCTCAAGCCTACCCACATCAGAGCATCCTGAAAGAGCTTAAAGTCCTAATCTCGCTTTATTTTTCTTCATGGCATTATCACTGAGCATAGTGCTTCTAAGTGTGTGTTAATAAATAAACATATCCAAATGTTAATTGATATACTATTTATAATATAGTATAGATATAATACAAGTAGGCTTCAGAATAACAGTCACTTTGACATGATAAAAAAGATGGAGGATACACTTTGGGAATAGTCTCTTACAGTTAATCCACTAACTTCTTCTTATGCATTTTCTCTTGAGCCTTTCAGTGCATACAAGTAAAGAAAACAGTGTTTAAATAATAAATTTGACAGACTCCATTACTTTTGATATTAACCACTGGCATGTGGTTACTCTCAACCAAGACAGCCACCAAAGCTGGCACAGAAAAGGAAATGCCTTTTCTAGTCAACATACGGGCTTGCCTTATGCAGGAGAAAGTTCAAGAAAAAAGATGGACACTTATTTCCTTGAACATCAGCGTTACTTCCTGGCTGTGGCCTTGAAGACATTTTTAAGTGTCCTGTGAATGGTGATGCAATCTTTAAAGACCCTCCTGTCTGTAGCTAAGGCCTATCCGTCCCAAGAATGTAGGTGAGTTGGGAAACTACATAGTCATAGGGGAAATAAAAAGGCAAAAACTCATAGAGATGTCACTGATTATAACAGAAGGCCTTTATTATTTGACTTTAAGAAATAAAGTAAGTAGGATAATCTCTTTGCTTTCTGTTCTTTCCTACTAGATGGTAACTGGTTTCGTATCTAACAAGGAGATAGATATGGCTTCCAAAATCTCCAAGACAATTAGATACAATGAGCACACAATTAGAATGGTGGGTTTCTGACTCTGATTCATCTAACTCCACATAAATCTTGGTCCCTCTAAGGATGACAATGTTTTCAGATCACTAGCCACAAGACTCCTGGTCCTACACCCCATAGCTGTGATGCAGACAGTGGTATTCACAAATATTTTTACACTGCCTCTAGGAGTCATGCCTTGCAACACTCTGAAGAAAGCTAGTTATGATTTATCAATAGCTATGACAATTAAAAACTGTACTGAAGATTTTAATACTTTAAATAAATTTAGTTAAATAAAAATAAAGCATACTTCCTAGTTATTTAAAAGGGAAAAAATAAAAATAAATAGCAATTTATCTCACACATACGAATCACAGAGCAGATGTTTTACCTGGTGAACTCCAGGACATTGAGCAATTCATACCTTTCTTCTTGCCCCAGCTATGAAGAAAAGGAAAACATGATTACCCAAAGTTGAAAGTATCTTTGGCCTCTTGGAAATAAACCTTAATCTTGAAGTTTTAACGTAAAAATGTCAACACAAACAAACTGTTCTTTCTGAAATAGATCATCTTTAATTGAACTTACTAACTTTCAGGTTAAGATGAAAGATTGAACATACACATTTTCTTCCCATCCTTCCCGAAGTCCTGCTAAAACTACATACAGTAAACACTTAAAAAGAAAGAAAGAAACTCGCAATAGCAGGAAAATAAGAGGGATAATAGCATCAAAAATTTGAAAGCTAGAAAACAGATCAGTGAGTGGTATCTTAGCAGATACAAGAAGGTCAAATGCTACAGGAGCCATGCGAAAAGCTGAGAACCAACCCAATTTGTACCACATAATCCTTAAAAGGCTTAAGGAAGTGAAATATCAGATAGCTATAGAATTGTGAGGTAAAGGAGAGCCCTAAAATGGGGAGGATTGGGTAAAACCTCCTTGAAAAGCAGCTCTCAGCACTGGCCCTTCCTGCATACTGGCAGAAGAGCAGAGGTTTTGCTCTATAAAGGGGAAAATAGAGGATTTTTCATCTAGAAGTTGACTGGCATAGTTGAAGATATGCCTTGGCATCATATTCATACTAAATGCTTGGTCCCAATATTCCAATCCACTCAGCTTCCTACATTCTGGCAGCCAGACCTTTCTTGGCAGAAATTGGAAGATTACTCTCTGGGGAATCCAACAAGCCCAAGAGAAGCCCTAAAGGTACAGACCCCTCCCCTTCCCAAACTAATCCCACCAGACTACCCTACAGGGAAGTTCAGCGTTGACAAATACCCTCTTATGCTCAGAACTGCCACACCAGCTTTCGGGTCCCTCACTCTTAACCAGGAGTATACCAAAGACTGACAGACATCCAAGGACAGCCACTAACACGGAACACAGATACCCAAAACAAACAGGTAAAAGCAATTTGGAGGAAAGAGAATTCAAAAACAAAACCACGTTGGCCCATGGAGTTTCAGGTTCGGTTTCCCAATGGGCAAGAGGGGCAGGTGGGCAGGTCCTGGATGCCTCTTCTCTCAGTTTCAACACCAGATTGAAGCAGTTTGTCATATGCTTCACATGGGGTATTTTCTGTTCTATCATTGGAACTAGATTACTGTGGCTTCCTCATGGCACAAAACGTTTTGCACTTTTTGAAATACTGCTGCGTTAGCCAGTATATGCTTTTTAATGGGATCCATGAACAAAATGTTTGAAACAATAAGATTGCTTGTAATAGTTCTCAGGTTTTTGTGATGAATATTTACACCGTGTGCTGCTCTTTGGTGGTGTAGGAGGAGACTGGGCTTATTATTTTGGATATTGCACTTCTTGTCAAAGACCTGGTATAATCTAGCATACATCTCACCTGCAAGGGATGCAGTAATTAAATGCTGTTCTTTTCTCCTAAGTGGAAAATAAGAAACTTTGGAAAAGAACATTTGAAAGTTGATATTTAATTCTTGGTCAAGTATGTTTTTCCTAAAACAATAATCACTGCAAAAAGCAATTGCAGTGATAGTTTAAGACCATTTTATATTCTGGTAAAAACGATAGCTTAACTAAACTGTTAAAATCTTGTAAATTTTTTTTTCAATGAAAACTTCAAAAAACTATCATTTCTCTCAGAGAAGTAACATAAGTATGACATTCATGAAACAAGAACAGGATACTATTAAAAAAGAAATATTGAAGGAAAAAAAAAGCTTCTAGAAACCAAAAACATGATAGTAAAAATGAAAAAAAAAAAATCAACAGAAGGCTAAGAAGATAAAGCTGAGGAAAACTTTCAAAAAGGAACAAAAAAGGCAAGGACATGAAAAGCAGGAGAGACAAGTTAAAAGATTAGTTCAAGAATTCTGAAAAGAGAGAGCAGAGCAAAAAGAAGGAAGAAAAATGGAATCATTCCAGAAAATTTTCCAGAACTGAAGGATATCAAATTCCAAATGGAAAAGGGTCCACCCAGCGCTCAGTAAAATGGGTTAAAATATTCCCACTAAGGCACACTGTCATGAAATATCAGAACTCTTGGGAGAAAGAAGCTCCTACAACCTTCCAGAGAGAGGGTGTAGGGGGCGAGTCACAAAAGATGTGGAATCACAATGGCTTTTAACTTCTCCATTAGCTGTATCAGAAGCCAGAAGATAGTGGAGCAATCCAAATTCTTAAGGAAAATGACTTCCACCCTGGAATTCTACATTCAGCCCGACTATCAGTTATGTGTAATGGTAGGATAAAAGAAGTTTAGACTTCAAAACACTAAAAAATAAATAAATAACTTCCCATGCATCTTTTCTCAAGAAGCCACTAAGAACGTGTTCCACAAAAACAAGAGTAAACCAAGAACAAGACAGACATGGGATTTAGGAAATAAAAGATCTAACACAGGATAGAGGTCAAGAAAGTCCCCAGGAAGACAGTAAAGCAATTCCAGGATGACAACTGTGAATGAGACTGTGAACCGTCAACAGTGCATCCTAGCGCCCCGGGAGTGAGGAGCTGGGTTTATTGAGGGCCTCTGCCCCTGTCACAGCTTTTTAACCTGATGAAACTGATAGAAAATGTGTTCCATCAAAGCAAGGGAGTTCACTAAGAAAGAAGAGTTAAGACATAAGCAACAGTTTAAAACAGGGGAAAATTGAAAGGAATTCTAAGTGCTATAGAAGCAGGCCTTAGAACAAAACTCGCCCAGACCAAGAAGAATGGCGGACTGCAAGAAGGATGTCTCAAGGAAAGAACTGCCAATTGACAGATTATCTGATGTGATCGTACGATACAAGTGTACTAAGAGGGTATAGGAACAATTAGCAATAGGTAGAAAGAAAATTAAGCAATTGAAAAAAGATAAGGGATTTATCTTTAGGAAATAAAGGAAAAAATTATTTCTAGGAAATAATTTTATATCAGGAACCATAAATTAAAAAAAGAAAATAGTTACCGAATACAACAATGTTCAGCTATGAATACTGGTACAGGCGTAATAATATAAACACTAAATAATGATTTTTTAATGAGATACAATTTATATACAATAAAGTACCTAGACCTTAAATGTACAGTTCAATGAAAATTGTATAGTTTGGCCAAGGTATACTTGGTGTAATCCCCACCCCAATCTAGACATAGAATATTCCCATAAATTCCTTTGTGCCATTTTCCAATCAATCTCCTTCCTGACCCCGAGGCAACCACTGTTCTGAACTCTATCAGCACAAATCACTTTTGTCTGATCTTGAGCTGCATATAAACGAAATTAAAGAGTGTGCACTCCTTTGTTTCTGGCTTTTTTTGCTTAACATAATATTTTTGTGATTTATCCATGCTGTTGCTGAATCAGTAATTCCTTATTATTGTTTAGCTATTCCATTGTATGAGCATATCACAATTTGTCCATATGTCCATATCACTATTAATGGACATTTGGTTTGTTTCCAGTTTTTGGCTACTATGAACATTCCATTAGACATCTTTTTGTGGACATAAGCTTTCATTTCCCCTGGGTAGCTACAAGTATAATTGCTGGGTCAGTTGTTTGTTTACCTGTATTGGAAAACTTGACAAAGTTTTCCAAAGGGATTGTACCATTTTACACATCCGCCAGGAATATACGGGCGCTCCACTTGCCTTACATTCTCATTAAAATTTGGTGCTGGCAATGTTTTCCACTTTAGCCTTTTTGGTGGGTATGTAGCATCTCCTTGTGATTTTAATTTGCATTTCCTTGATGACTAATGATGTTTCTTCACGTGCTCATTGGCCATTCATATATCTTCTTTTGTGAAATGTTTGCTCAAGTCTTTTGCCCATTTTAAAAACTGGGTCTGAATACTTGTTTAACCAAAAATTGTACATAATTATATAATATTGGGAAGGGATGGTGTGTCAAGAGAGACAAATCCTCAACTACCATAATAGATTACAAAGTCAGTAGATATGTCTAAAATTGAAGAATCAAAACATATATCATTAATCACATATTTTTAGAAAATATGAGATGTATAAATGCCTGAGGAAACAGCTAAAAGAACTGAAAGTGGTTGCTTCTGGAGAGGGTACTGGAATACGGATTCTCTATTTTATTATGAGCCTTTTAGTATCATTTTAGCTTTGAAGCTATGCATATGTATTACTTTGATGAAAAAGAGACTTAAAAATAAATAACTTACTGAATCTATAATCACTGAGTCAGGTGTTCTTCCAGTGAAAACAAAATTCAATTGCTTGGCTGCTCTGACCAGTGCTCCCTCATCTGTTTCAGGAAAATAGGTGAAAGCAAATACATGGTGAAAAAAATTATCTCAAATACAAGAGAAATACATTACTGTAATATAATTTTGTTTAATTTTAAAAGAATTAAAATTCTTTTTAATCTGGCCCTTGTTATTGAAACCCATTTCTTTTTAAATTATATGACAATGCCAAAGGAATGAGTAGAATAATCTTAAGGATCTGAGACACATATAGACGTCAGAGTTCTATTTCTGAAGATTAAGTCTCACTGTTAGTCATACACACCTAAGAAGGAAAATTTAAATGCACCCCTTGTTCCAGGCGTAGTCTCCAGAAAACTTTCTCAAAATGAATGACACAAAATTGCCTTCTTACATTTTATGCTTTTCCTCCTAAAAGGTTGAATGTAGAAAAACTAATACTGCTAATTGAGGATTCAATTTAAATGGATAAAAATGAATTGATGCTTTATTTTATTATGTATTATTTACTTTCATCGCTATGTTATCTCAAACTTTCTTTTTGCTGAGGGTAGGTAGGGTGTGGGATAAGAAAACATTCACATAGTTTCTATCCTAACGATATGAGATATAACATTTCTTATGCTTTTAGGAATTTGGTAAATTCTACAAGGTCAACAGGTGCTGTTTAGAATACAGTTTAAAATACAACAAATTTCTCCAAAGTGTGTTTCTTCTTTCCTAAAAATCTTACAATCATCAAGTTGACTATTTACCCAATTTTACATTGAAAATAGGTCTAAAATTAAGCCTAAGTATTAAATATTGATAACTGTGCTAATACATACTTTATGGAATCCCTTCAAATGTGTAAACTTTCCTCATCCAAATAAATACATAACAAGCTCCTTAATTATCATTTTCCAAAAGAGGAAAGCAAAACTGGTGTTCTAAAATGGATGCTCTTTAGGCAAACGGATCTTCCTTTTCCTGTCTGCTTATGTGCAAAAACAGTTTATGACTAATAGTTTATTCTTAGTTATTTATAAAGAAGGGAAAATTTACTATGTGCATATAAAAAAGTACTTTTTACTTGTGTGAATTTTGTTATTCAAATTTCCATATAATTTATGTCATATACCAAAAATTACATATATAAAGTTATGTATTTTAACATATACATTTAACGCTGAAAGTCATTTTTTCTAATTAGGAAATAAAATTTTTTATCTAAAAAACGTAACTTGGTAATTTTACTTTTTCAAATTAAATAGATTTCCTAGACAGTCTCAAATTTCAGAACAATTTTCTACCAAAAAAATACATCTCAACTGCTTCATTTGTACCTGGAGATGATGCTTGATAAATAATCTTATCGCCTTCTCGCTCTGGTACTGCTGTGTGACAAACTGCCATCATTGTAAGAAATTCACATATTATAGGTGCAGTTGGCTGTAAGAAATAAACACATAATTTAGCCCTTTTCATTTAAACATCTTGACACTAATGACAGCAACATTACTTCATGTCTATCTTTTAAGAGCAAAGATGTTAAGCACTGACGGTGTGAGGGTACAGTCAACTAAAAAGCCAACATCTATTATGAAGAAAATACATTTTAAACTAAAGTTATTCATTCTTGCACTGTCTCATCCATTTTCTAAACATTTATATAGGACAACTTTGTGCTGTCAAATAGTACAGTGAAAAGGTAGATATGATTGAATCCTGTTCTCAGAAGACAGGAGAGAAACTCTAAAATATTCCTCTACCTGGTTCTAAGACCTGACCAGATTTAAATTTTAGGCATCTGATCTCACTGTGGTTCCACTACTTTGGGTTGGGGTGATGACGGCAGGGGATTCCTCTGTAATGCTTTGTCCTTCTTCTCTCCCAAAATGGCAACCTTAACCTGATAAATGTTTTACTAAATAAAAAAGAATTGACTGAGCAATTCCTATGTACAACGGACTCTTATAGCCTGAGGAAGACATAAAAGGAGATCCTTTCTACTTTTCTCCTTTCTATAGGAGAAAAGAAGCCAGATCTTTTAAATGAAACATCTTCCTGTAAGGCTCCTGATGAAGAGAAATGTCATTCAAATTAACAAAGAAAAAATACTCCACTATGGTCTTGGACTAAAAAAAAAAAAACGAAACAGAATGAAGTGATTGGAAAGGTAAATCAGAACACTATTTGAAAATCTGTGTTCAGGCTAGAACAGAGACAAAACAGACATGGTCTCTAATATGTGAAGCTCAGACTTGTGGGGAAGACAGAACACAAATAAATACACAGTATAATTTATTTATAGTGCGGAAAAGGCTATAGAGAGAACGTGCAACTATCATGTAATGTGATTTGGGTCAGTCTGTGGTTGTTCTCAAGATAATATGATATTTAAGCTGATGAGGTTTCAACCTCATGAACAACTGAGCAAAGAGTCTTCCACAGAGAAGGAATCAGATATGATTGAAAAGGTCCCAAAGAAGGAAAGAAAATAAAGTGTGTTTGAGAAAATAAAAGAAAGCCAGTGTCACTTGAGGAGAAAGAAAGGGAGAGTGGCTCCGAGTGAAGTTGGTAACTTAGCAGGGGCCAGATCATTTAACTTTGTAAGTTAAGAAGGAAGCCAGAGAATGGTTTGACATGGAGAAGTGATGGGACTTGATTTCCATTTGCATCATTCCAGTTGCCATGTGCAACAAGAACTGGAGGGGAGTAAAAATGGAAATAAGGAGACTGGTTAGGAGGTTATTATGGTTATCCACATGGGGGATGCTGATAGTCTGGATCAGGGTAGTGAAAGTGAGAATGACATGAAGATGACATTCAGGATGTATTCTAGAAGTCAGCATTGACAAGGGCTTGGCGACTCCTTATAGATCTGGAGATGGAGGGAAAGCAGGTATCAAAAGCAACCCTTAAGTTCCAAGAAAGAGTATAGATAGGTGATGGTGCAATTTACTGAACCTGAGAACACAAGAGGGGAGAGGTGGTCTAGGTCTAGGTCTAGGTTTTGTGGATCCTGAAGCTAATATTTTGTTGAAGGTTCTCAATAAAAAAGAATACAAAAATAACCATATGAACACATTGCTAGGGCCCCACCCAGGGGCACAGGTGGTAAGTTCATCTGTACAAGAGAGGGAGCATGTTTTAGGGTAATGATTACAAGTTCAAGTTTTCACACACTGAGCTTGCAACAATTGTGAGAAAAAATTCTGTGGTTTAAACTCTAGGAGACCATATCACTGGATCTGATGGAATTTTAATAAGTGTCAGTCACTTCGTAAGTGGAATGTTCACATTGGGCGGCAGATGTCTGAAGTTCTTATTGTATAGATTTGGTACTGGCCTATAATTTCGAGCAGGTAATTCATTTCTACAGATATTTTGAAATTGTTAATACGAAATTGCTTCAGATGAATAGAGTTCGATAATTATTTAATATAAAACATTTTTAAAAGACAGAACATTGATTGAATATTCTGACATTCATCTAATGATGAATTCATAATGAAGTAAAAAGGATTCAGCAATAACAGATTTTGATAATTATTAAAAATGATCATGAAACTAAAAGAAAAGGGATACACATATAAACATGGAAGATAATTCAGAGAAACACTCATTGGTTTTCATTCATTAATGAAAAGATAATGGTTTTATGTTGCTTACATGATTATTTTGGAGGTTTTCCAGCAATGATGAATCACTAAATGATTTTTCATCTCCAAACTGTGAGCTCTGCCTAAACAGGAAAAGAAATGGAGCAAACCTGGTTCATTTATACAAGCCTACTGACCTATTTGTAACTTACTTGTAAAATTAACATTATGCCTACAAACCCTTAACAGATTAAATATAATTTAGTCTGCTTTCTAAATAAGACATCATTGATTTATGATTGAGTCATAAAATATTTTCAACCAGTCTAAAATGTGACAGACTTTTGCAGTGCGATGAAAAACAGTATCTTATAGTTCATTTTCCTGGAGTAAAATTATATTGTAGCCTCATGAAATTAAAAAAATTAATTTAAAAAACGTAATAAAACTGCTAAAATACCTGGAATTGAATTTCTTCTACTTCCATAATTTTTTTAAGTTTTTAGAATTTTGAGAATTAATGAAGTTATTATAAAAAATATTGATTCTTTTACTTTAGCCTATGAGATATCTTCATTTATATTAACACTACATAATTATCATACAAAATATAAAAACATGAACAATAAACGATTTACATATTTTATCAACATCTATCACTAACAAATATCTGATATATTTATGTACATATCACATTTGTTCTGTATATACAAGAACAAATCATAAAAATGTATGGGATTTTTTGTGCTGTGGCTATCTTCAGATCAGCAAACACATTATGTACTTCATATGAATCAAACAGAGTCAGAACTACCTCTGTAATCCAGCTATTATTAATCTCATGGCCCATGATTTAATATTAAAACGTTGAGATTCAAAGGAAGAACAAGGAATATTTCAGTGGGAATGTCAAACCCAAAGGGTACACTTTGCAATGCTCAGTGAAAATATATACATCTAAGCTTTTGTGCATAGAAGAAAATTTCAGAATTCACTGAAGAAAAAATAATGTGTCCAATACTAAATAACTGTAATCCAGAAAGCTTTCAATCACAATTTTTACAGGTTACAAAGGGTATTATCAATGCCTATGTGTCAAACATCAAGGGTTTCATATTTTAAAGTCAGTAGCTTCAAAGGAAGGAGAAGTCATTGAAGAAAAACAGAATTTGAAGTAATTGAACACACACAACATTGTCAATATATTTTTCCCATAAACCAAGGAGGAAGTTAGAACATTTATAATATATCTTTATTTACACGTAGTCATTTGGTCTATTAATTCTCAAAATTATAATATAATACATCTTTATTAGCATGTAGTAGTTTAGTGTTCTCAAAATACCCCTGGGAGGTAGAATAAATACATTATTATTATTATTATTATCATTCCTCCTCCTCTAGTTTTAAAGATGGAGGGAAAAATCCAAGAACTTTTAAATGACGTATCAATGGGCAGACAGAAAAATTAGCATACATTTCTTCTTCAAATACTATCGCTGCTTAAAAATAGTTTATTATTTGGGGTGCCATATAATCTCTCCATTTTTAAAATGTATTCATTAATGGTTCTTAGTTATAGTTTCCTATTTATTTGTTAGATAAATTGAAATGTCAAGGTATATTCACAGTAACATCTTGCATGTGAAGGTCTATTTTCTTCCCAAAGAATTCTAGACTAAAAGCCTTTATAAATCTGAAGATATGCCTTATTAATCTCACCAGTAATTCTTTCATTTTATAAATCATAGTTACCATAATTGATATAACTTTCAAATGTATTTATAACAAATAACACTGGAAATGCAATTGAAATATTTACATGAACACATTCCACCCTCCATTCACCAATGAAGGCTTTCACCATGGATAATGCTAAATAAGAACGCTTCTCCCAGCAAGCGGCTGCCTTTCCAAGGTCAGAAAAACCATAAACAACTCATCAGCTGATCATACAGTCTGGGTTGGATAACTCAGGCATGGAGCTCTCACCACCCTTCTCCGAAATCTTACAAAACATTCACTTTTAGTAAAAGTAAACAGATAAAATTAGGAAGCTCACGTCATTTCATAACAAGAACCAACTATATTAAAAGTAAAAGCAATAGTTTAAACTGTTAGTTGACAAAACTATACAAATTTGAAAACGACTCACAGGTAAAAATGTAAGCAACATCTACATTTTGTTAAATTTTTCCATAGAAATTTTCAAGTGACACTTGGCTCGACAAGGAGACAAAGAAATGCTGGTGTTTTGTAAGAAGCAATAGGCAGGGAGTGCAACAGTTAAGGAGAAAAATGAGCTGTTAGCCAACTCATAAAATTGCAGCTTCTTTCAGGCTGATTTAAAAGCTATGATACATTGTAAATAATTATTTCCTAATCTTACAAAAATGAAGAATCCCCATAGCGATAAAAATTAAGAGAAAATTCAGAATGCATAGGGCTTAATTAATATTAGCTATTTTCATATATGACAGTATGGACTATGAAATTTTTTTAAATTCAAAATATGTCATCAAGAAAGTCATCAGAAAAAAAGAAAAAAATTTGGATCCATGCTTTTCACCTTAAACCAAGGAGGTTTTCCAGCATGGATGAACAATTTAATAAAAGTACTACAGACATGGGAAAATTCTAAAAATAACTTAGGAGTGGGAAAAGCCTAAGTTTCATACATAATTCAGAAAACCAAAAAAAATCGATAAATCTGACTGCATAAAGCTAAAACACTTCTGCAGAGCAAAAACTATTGCAAGCACAGTCAAAAGCCAAAGGACAAACTGGGAGAAAAATATTCCCAACTGATATCATGCAAGTTAATTTCCATAAAATAGAAAGAACTCAGAAATCAGTATAAAAAAAGAAAAGTTCAACAATGCAGTAGAACAACGAGCAAAAGGTATAAACATACAGTTCACAGAGAAGGCAATACAAGTGGCTTTAAATATAAGTTCAATCTTATCCCACAATGAGAGAAATGAAATTTAAATTTATCGACTTGGCAGAAATAAAGTTTGACAACTCCGTGCTGTTGTGATTATGGAAAAAGTTAAATCATGTATCACTGGTGAGAATGAAAACTAGTATAACTTCTAAAAAGGGCAATTGGGAAATTTCTATCAAAATTTAAAATGCATCTATCCTTTGATCTAGTAATTCCAGGTCTAGGAATTTATATGTTATTTATGTGGTACAAAGTGCTGTATGTACAAATTCATTCTTTGCAGCACTTTTTTAATAGCAAAAGATTAGAAATAACCCCAGTTCTATCAGGAACGTTGCTTTAAAAAATTGTGGTACATCCACATAACAGAACACCATACAAAAAACGGGAAGCTCTTCATGGAATATCAACAAATCTCAAAAGAAAAACTGGTACAAAACAGTGTGTACAGTACGCATCACTTTTTGTAAAAACATGAGAGAAAAAAATACATGCATATATATGTGTAGAGTAGATCTGGAAAGATATACCTGAAATTGGTTACACTGGCTGCCTTCAGGAGGAGAAATGGAGGGCTCTAAGACAGGGAGCTCTTTACATCCTTTGAATTTATAACATGGTAACATATTATAAACTTAAAAAATAAATCAAATTTAAAATAGAAATTAAAAACCGGAACAAAATCCATGTCAGCCACCTGAAATATACACACACCCTCCATATAAACTAAATGTATACATTATATACATACACATACTACACACATGTACACACAGAAAGACCAAGGCGGTGTGACTGTAAAGCACTATTTTTTGAAAGGATCTGCACCTCCTGCTTTTGAACAGTGCTACTGGCTCCAAATCAAAATTCCTTAAAGGAGATTCCTTAAGGAGATCTCCCTTAAAGGGAGATGTAATTTTTAGAAATGAATTTTGTTATGCACAGTCAGGTCCAGTCAGGTCCAAGAATTTAAACAAGTGATTGAATTCAATAATATTTTTGTTAGACACTGGTTTTGACCAAAGAAATGAGATTCACTTTCTGTGTGGCTCAAAGTATTTCTGAAAGCAATTACAAAAGAGGAGGTCCAAAAACATTCTGTAAAACAGCTGCGTCATTGGAATAAATAAATTACCTGTCAAAGTGACTACTTTGAAGACTAACACTAATTTGGATGTGTTAGATCTCATTATTATACAGTACACCTGGAAGAATGTTTTAGTGAGCCTAGCTGTTGAAGCAGACGAATACCACTTATTCCATACATAATTATAGACCAGAATAAAAGGAGAAAATAAATAAGACTAGAAAATAGTATTATCCATTGATATTAGGATAATACTAAAAACCACAGTGAAATGACTAAGCACAGAATACTTTAAGGTAATCCTTCTGGAGAATCACGCTCACTAGCATTAACTTAAAAAAAACTATCAGAAAGAATAATATGGAACTATATTAAACAGTTAAGAAAAACAAATACGTTATCTGGGATTTGTTTCAAAATACTAGTGGGGGAAAGGTGTAGATGAATTGAAACTGGTCTTGAGTGCGTACTACTTAAGTAAGTGGATGGGCACATCTGTCTACCTTTGTTTGTTTGAAATTTTCCACAGTAAGTGTTAGAAAAAGAAAAAAATGGTTATAGAAATACATAGTTTTGAAAAATAATCATATCTTACGGCTTCACGAATGCTGAGAACAAGCCGATTTTTTTTTTTTCTCCAATGGTAGATTTTTAACAGAAAAGAATTAATCTGGAAGTTTATATGTTAGCTTATGGTACTTGGCAATAACAAGAAAACCATACCAATTTTGAAGTGGCTACTGGTTGGGAGATGATTTTATCTCTGTAAACTATTTATATTAATATACTTAAGCAAGCAGAGCTACAGCCATCATCCAATTATCTTTAACATCAAGAGAGGATGTTGGAAAGAGTTACTAAATTATAGGTTTGCCTTCCAAGGTGACTAAATGTAAAATAACCTACATACATTTAAGTGTTAAATATCATGTGTTTTTTTAACTTGACATTTTTGTGGTGACTATGGTTTAAGTAGGACAGTAAAGTATATACAGGCCACAAGTCTCACATATGGAATTCAATGAAATTCACATTGAAAGGTGAAGCTGCTGACAGATAGGAATGAACTTTCATATTTTGGATTTACACAGTCATCTACAGTCTCTAGTTTACCCTGAAGACCAGCACATCAAGATGTGGTCAGGTGCCTGGAGCACAGGATTCAACCAGGATTGCCTTTTAATCTTGGTTTCATTGGCAATATGAAACCAACTGGATGAGACTGGGGGGATGCCAGATCCACGAATGTGCAAAATTGTGCCCCCCATGCTAACTTTTCTCAAGTTAAATTTCACCTGCTCTTGCTACCTTAACAAAACAAGAAAGAAACAAAGAAAAATAAAACGACTGAAACAGCAAGGATATCTTGTGCTCTAAAAGCAAATATTCTTTAAAGTTCTTTCAAGTCTATAGGATGTAATGTGACCAGCACCTACTTTACAACCAGGTTGAACGAGGTTTTAACTCTGGCTTCCATGTTTACTGGTTGTATACTTTGGGGCAAGTTACATAATAGCTTCTTTGCCTAAATTTCACCAACTTTAAAATGGTCATGTCAATCATAACTCCTTAAATATGTCATGAAGATCAAGTGAGAGACGTCAGAGCTAACACTCTCTATGAGCTTGCTAAGTCCAGTCACTACTCCAAGCACTTTAAAAACAGAACTCAATCTTCACAACCTCCCTGTGATGTCTATATTCTACCAGATGAGGATAGGCAGGTAGAGAGATCAGGTAACTTGTTCAAGGGCACCAGGAGGATGAGGGTGTGAACTTGGGGGTCAGAATCCACAGTCTGCATCTCTGACCATTGCACAGGACCCAGGACACAACAGAAGCTCAAGTAGAATCCGTTCCTTCATCTTTGTGGTCTCCAGGTAACTATTTGATAGATGGGGAATCAAAGCATTTATTTAAAATAAAGCTCACTTTTTTATAAAGGTGGCAAAAGCCTTCCCTAGTGTTTTCTTTAAAATATCATTAATATCTAAGTTTTTAAGTAACTGCAGGTGGAATTGTACAAACAATTTACAAAAAAGCTGGCATTTTTTATTTGGAGTTATCTGGTTTAGAATATCAAATATCAGATTTTCCAAAAGGGTGTTTCACAAAAAGAACTTCTTAACTTAGGAAAAATAACATCCTCGTTTTCCAACAGTGATAAAAGTCATGAAACCTCTATCAAAAGCAGAATATTTTAAATGACCTGAGTAAACAAACAACAATTTTTAAAATTTCTATTCAACCTTAACAAAAATATGGTAAAGGTAATTTCCTTAAGAGTAAATGAGTTATCGTAGAAAAATGTGTATTAATTCTACGTTAATGAACAGTGTTTAAAATTAATAGAATTACGTTAATGTTACAGAAAGCAACAAATAAAAAGATATAGCCAAAATTTCAACTACACTCTTGAAGGATTAAATAAAAGAGAATATTTATGCCATTAAACTTGAATTATCTACCAACAGTAAGATGCTTTGGCCCATTTAAAAAATACTAAAAATTATTCAGTTGTGTGTAGGTGTCGAAATGTATGATATTCCAAACAATGACCTTAAACGTGATGACTCATCAGTTATCACATGAACCAAACAGCTGCCTCTGTCACTACCCTAGGTATTATGAGGTTTACTGTGAATTGTTACCAAGGCTCCACTTTATTGAAATAAAATCCATGCTGAAAAATATTAAATGATGCTATTAGATTTCTATGCATATTGGAAATGAGGCTTAATTATAAAACACATGTGTAATCTGAAAATAAAAACATAACCACTAAGAAAACCACAATATTTTCTATAGTTACCAGCATTAAAAGAACCTGTTTTCTGAAATTTTGCCACCAAATCATGATGAATTATAGAAATATCAAAATAAACTTAGACCATCCTAAATGAAAATGTAAATCCACAGAGTGGGGGGATTTTAAGGTAAGACAAACAGAAAGCCCAAAAAGTATTGAAATTCAGCTTATAAAATGCCATCTTATTTTAATAATTCTAAAATTAATTATATTCTAGTTAACTATGGTCCTTGGTAGCACAGTCTTCCAACATCTGTCCCAGACATTTCATTAAAAAGAAAATTCAGGGGCTGGCCGGGTGGCATAAGCGGTTAAGTGCGCGCGCTCTGCTTCAGTGGGCCAGGGTTCGCAGGTTCGGATCCCGGGTGCGCACCGACGCACCGCTTGTCAAGCCACGTTGTGGAGGCGTCCCATGTAAAGTAGAGGAAGATGGGCACGGATGTTAGCCCAGGGCCAATCTTCCTCAGGAAAAAGAGGAGGATTGGCATTGGATGTTAGCTCAGGGTTGATCTTCCTCACACACACACACAAAAAATTCATTTCCTAGCCCCCAAGCAGATTTAGTAAATGAATGAAAAGAAACGTAAAGGAATTAATTGTCCACTGCTTGGATATGTTTCAGTAGCCTTCCTGGGGCTCTGTAGAGTACGTAAGTAGTGGCAGAAGGTGGCAGTGCTGAGCTAAAAAACCTAAGAAAGCTTCTGGAGCTGCAACTGAAATCTTAGGTAGTCCACAGCCCAGGAACTCCAAGTTGATCATCACAGACTTTATTACAGATACATAATATAAAATTCTAACAAGCCTAACCTTTAAGTTAAATGTTTATAAAATGACTGAGGGTTATTCAACAGGAAATCACAGATAGTCCATGGTTTTCAAGAAATACCTACTTTACAGCATTGTCACCCTACCTGATCAGTAATGCTTTTTTCAAAAGTAGTGAAATGTGTCTAGCAAAACAATAACGTGCAAATCTTTTAAAGGAATCAATGAGACAGAAAGGTCCATGCAGCTTACCATTCATCAGGAGAGCAGCCATAATCCTCAGGTTCAGGGACATGGCTTCAGAAAGCAAGAGGAGGGATAGAAAGAGAGGAAAAAATAATCACAGAAAGGCTGGAAACATAAAAAGATGAATAAGGGAAGTACTGAAAGACAGATCTCAAAAAATTTAAGAAAATGAACTTTTAGTTGATTCTGAAAGAATGGCAGTTAGTATAGTAAGTAGAACATGATTTATGGTAACTAGGCAGGTTTACAAAGTTGTTCTATAACTGGATAGCCAACTTGCCTCTTTGCCATGAAATTTACTGATTTTATGCACAGAATTCAGTATTCAGTAGGAAATATCTGAACTTAGCAGTTTAAATACATGCTAAAGCCAACATAAAATTAACCACATATTGTATACTCAGAATAAAATGTTTTAATAAAACAACATGCTAATACCCACAAACTATCACACTGATAAAATTTGCCAAATACATTTTAGAAGTAAATTTGACTACCACGAGGTTATGGTTCTTTAAGCAAGCATACTTAAAAGTTAATCACATTTCTATAATTAAAAGGAACCAAATTTTAAAAGATTAACTGATATTCAAATTTTTCTCTTAAACCATAATTCAGTCATGAAACCATTTATCTCAAACAGAAAACACATTTATCAATATGTCAATTTCATCCATTAGCTCATTTGAGCACTAGGAAAGTTTGATTGACATATAGCTTTCATTTCAACCAGCCAGTCACGTATTAATCAGAAGTACCCATAATACATGACAGAGATTTTATTTATGTATTTATTACATTTTCTTTTATTGTTCAATTTTTTCCAGCTTTATTGAGATACAATTGATATAGAACATTGTGTAAGTTTGAGGTGTATAGTGTGTTGATTTGATACATGTATATAGTACAAAATGATTAACACCATAGTGTTAGCTAACACCTTCATCCTGTCACATAATTACCATTTCTTTTTTTGTGGTGAGAACATTTAAGATCATTCTCTTAGCAACTAGAGAAGATTTTCTTATCTCCCATTTCATTCATTATACATAACCATTCAATATTTTTCCTGAAAATTAAATATATCAGATACAGGTAGATTTTTAAAAATTCAGAGTTCAGTACAAAGGTAAAATCATTGTTATTTTTGACAAATATACAATAAACTTCATTGGGATCCTTTCATTTCCTAAGTGTCCACCCCACTCTCTTTACCTTCCATCAAACTGGCCGTGATACGGGTCTCATCATTCCAGGGCTCCTCTTCCACCTCCAAAACATTAAATTGCCTCCAGGGCAGTATCCACTATCTTCACTCTAATCACAATGGAAGCAGTGGCTTTTCCTCACAATTCTCTCTCTTACCAAAGGCCTTTCGTAGATGCTTGAGAGGAAGGGCTAACCAAGCCCCTTGTGGGCTGGACTCCCGGAAAAGGCAATGGCTTACTGCAAAGCTCTGGGGAAACTGGCCGCAGCCCAGTGCTTAAAGCAATCATTCCTGATCAACCTCAAGTTTTGGACTCCAGCCCCTAGACTGTACCGGGAAGGGCCTGGTGCTACCCAAGCAAAAACACTGTGCCAATGTTCTGCCAAGTTGTGCTAGTATCATACAGCAGACCTTGATCTCACACCAGGAAAGGGGCCAGTGCTCCTCAAGTCATGCAGCTTAAACACTGCAGAGCTCAAGGCTCAGGGTCCTTCTCCCCAGGTCTGGTCCAGCCTTGGCAGATGCTGAGTGCTATTCAGCATGTGATGAGCAGCAGGCAACCCACACACCTGTTACTGATCCTGTCTGCATGAGTTTCCCGGAGATCGCTGCTCCAGCAGCTCTGGTGTGTATGCACTGACTGGTTATTTGCCTTTGTTTGTACAACAGTGCTATTAGATCTGCCTGGTAAGTTCTTCACTTAAACTCACTCTTAGATCTCAGCTCATGTATCACTTTTTCAGGGAGCAGTCCCTGATCTCCCTGCTTAGATCAGACCCCCAATGACAGACTCACATAGACCTTTGTATTGTGTCAGGATTCTATATTTGTCGTTACAATTACTTAATTAACAACCATTAACCCTCAATTAGACTATAAATTTTAGGAGGGCGGGAACCATGTGAACTTTTGCTGATCATAATATCCCCATCATCTAACAAAGTGCCACACACACAGAAGGAGATAAAAATTTGTTGAGGTATGTGAATAAACAAATGAATGATGCTTCCTCAGCTTTAACCATCAGTCATGGTGAGGAGTAAGATAAATTTGTTGGTTATAATCTAGATCTTGGGCCTAAGTATTATAATAATTGTGAGGTTTCTCATGATGAATCTCTTCTTGGTGTTAAGGAAGCAGCTGATCTTTTCAGTAAGCATATTGCTAAACAAAATATCGTCAAGCAAAGCTACTCACATATTGTACTCATATATAAACAAAGGTTGCTTTTAAGAACATTCATTTTTTACTTGAAGGGAAAATGTCAATGAAATGTTTTTAATACTGATTAAATGACTTGCTCCCACAAAAAGTAGTTTACTTTCCTTAACAGAATTTTTTTAAACCTTAGAGATTGTACCGTGTTAAGCCTTGCCCATCTCATTCTAATAGTAAGGTCTAAATTATCAACAAAGATGGTACTTAGGATTGTAGCCCAGAATATTCGCTGTATTGAGAATCCTTACCACTGAACACAAAAGCCTTCTTACCTATTCCTGGTATTCAAGTAATGGTGATAAAACTGACTTATTCCTTATAGGAAGCATTTTGCTGAAATGATACTTGAATAAATACTGAACAGTAGAATTTCTAGTTTGTAATAAGTTAAATTTACAAATGACATCACAACTCATTTATATTTAACTAAAAAAGATCGAATAAAACAATCTATATGTTTAAGCGTGGTGGCATCTCTGATACAATGTTGCTCTCTAGAAAATAATCATCATTGCTACATATGCACAAACCTTTTTATTTCATTGCCCCTCATAAATCAGATTTGGGGCAACGGTTACATGAAATAAGAGAAAACTTGCAAGACTAAATTTTGAAGCATTGTTTTAAGTGTTCAACATTATCTTCTTACAAACCTATGGAACACAGAGAACTAGGCAAAGACTGTACTATCAAGAGACTTCAAGTCTTTTCTTTCAAACTGTTAAAAGCCAATAGAACTCATCTTTAACTCTTTCTAGGGTAAAATTAGGTTTTATCGTCTTAAAAATGTTGAAGAAGCATTAGCTCTGAAATCATAACCCCAGAGGCATTTGTTAGTATACGAAAGTTTGTGTTCTTCTTTGTTTTGTCACATCCTGGGGGGATAAACGCTATGCTTTCTTCTGCGGGAGCTGGAAGTGCATGTACATAACAGTTCCCCATAATAAACAAGCGTTAACACTGCTGTGGGGCAAAGGCGACAGTAAAAGTATGTTATTTCCCTGTCTGGGTTCCTATAAAGCAAGAGTGCCCCGAGGAAATTCCCACAGAAAGGTGGGTGACGGTAATTACTTTTTCCTGTGGAGTCTGGAGAGATTAAGAACAGTGGTGTGTCTCCTATTGTAAACATCTGAACAGTGCGAAGTCTCCTGGTTTCCCCAAAGTCTTCATATATCAACAGCTCTCTATAACGCTGACATTTCAATTGTGCATCAGGATGCTTGGGGGTGGGGGTGGGGCTGGGGTTGATAAAAACTCCATCAGGGTTAAGGATCCTGAAAGCACATATACAACCAGTACATGAATGACTATTGGAAGCAGCTTAACAACTAGCTTCACTCAACAAGGATTCTGGTATTCTCAAACACACAACACATCATCCGAAGAAGAAACATATTTCTGTTTATATAGTTAAAATTTGCAAGCAAAGAAACACCTGTTTTTTATTTCTAAATCTGTTAAAATTTATGCCTGGAAAAGAACCTTCGAGATCATCTGGTCTCACCATTCTTTTTTTAAGGGGTTTGGAACATTTGAAAGGAATTGTCTAGGGTCACATAGCAAATTAGTGACGGAGCTAGGACTAGAACTCATGCCTTATGACTGCATCTCAATATTAAGAAATGTTATTTTCCTAAGAGGAAGTCTGTTTCACTGGAAACTTAATCTAAATGATGACAATACTTAACTCCTAATACTACTTTAATATTTACTAGTCTCAAACCCATCTAGCAAAACACGGTTGTTAATGACAACATCATCAATAGATACAAGAATACTGCTCTTGAGAACTACTGCTTGGAAGTGTTTAAGGACTTGTTCCAAGAATAAAAAACCCGATAAAAATGCAGAAGGAAAGTGAGGCTAGATCTCATTCCAGCTTTCTGTCCTGATAAGTTCACAACCAACAATTACTAATTTGAAGAACTTGACTATTCAATTGGAAACTGGACAAAATAATAAAAAGATGTCAATTATCAAACAGACTACTCTAAAAAGTAACACTTATGAATGCAGAATATGTGTAAAAACAATCATCATCATAAATCCGTCAGAAAGTATACTACAACAAACTCTAGAATCACAATAGGCCTTTCCTTCTCTGGGATAATTATGGGTGGAATATATAAGCACAAGACGTCAAAAAGTGCGGCTCTATCTCTCCTGCTCCAGCAGCTAACCAAACTAAGAGAGGCCTGTAGCAATGTGGGGAGGAGTGAGGAGAGCCCCTTTTGTCTAAGAGAATTAGGACATCTCTAGATCAAGAGGAAAGATGCAAAATGTCATCCAGCTCTGGAAATGATAAGTATGCTTCTTACCTTAACAGCCTGTCTTTACAGTGTAAGAAGGCCATTCAATCAAATGTCTTTTTAGTTTCATTTACACACACAGTTTGAAGTCATTTTTAGTCACACTCTCTGCTAACCCAAAGAACAAAAATATCTGCCTCCATCTACTTCTCTTTGTAGACTCTGTGTACAGGAGTAAACATATGCGTTTAGAATTTTTTACCAAATGGTTATTTATTTATAATTTTAACTAAGGCATTTTCAAAATTCAATACACTATTTTTATACTGCCTTACTGCTTGGAGACAGAGTGTAAGTGAGGAAGAGTGGGTACAAGCCAGAAAACCCAGAGCAAGTGTCTTCGCTTGTGTGGTTAAGAGACTGACATGTACCAGTCTCATTTGTAGATAAAGATGGTTGGAAAATTTGATAATAGGCCAATGTCAATCAACGAGGAAGTGTTTCACCTTTTGATAGTGTCTTTTTAGGAAATATAAAAACTAATTTTCTCATATTACCCTATAAAGTATTTAAAAAGGAAGGCTTTTCAACAGTTTAGGCAAGCATACCTGAAAGTAAGAAATAAATGGGTGCTCAATAAGCACATTCTAAATGACAATAAGAGTCTGATAAAGGTTTTTGATGATATTCATTATCCCCCAGATTTAGGAGTTTCATGCCCCTACCTCCTTCCTGACATCAGAAATTTAGATTGCTCTGTGACTGCAAAGAAGAGAGATGATAAAAGAAAAAACAAATCCAAGGGATAACTATCAGAGAAACAATTTTAACTTGAAATCTGCCAAGGACAGGCTGCATGTTCTTACCACATGTAAGCTGCACCCTAACTTTACGGCAACGTAGAGGGAAGTATACATGTACCTTATTACCAGAGCCAGACAGCAACCTTCGGCAACTCTAAACACTGAAATATTATTGGGCAGAGCCCCCACCTCATAGGTAATTCCAAATGAAAAATAATACCAAACTATAAAACACAAAACGTATACGGATGCTGAAATTAATACAGTTGCTTTCTAGATTAAAAAAACCAAAACTCCCCTGATAAGAATTCCCAAAATGTACCAAACTGTCAGCACTAATTAAATGTGTATTTCACATTCTAATCAAAGGGAAAAAACTCACCCATAAGCAACTCCAGCTATGGTGCACTTCTTAAACTGCATTACATTGCATGTCAGAGTACCAGTTTTGTCAGAAAATATGTATTTTACCTAAAAAAAGTTTAAAATTTCGTATTAAAATTTCAGACGTCTTTTTAAGCCAGTCTTGTATAGATGGGAAAAAAAACCCCTACATTATTCTATTTATCAATTTTATTACATTGTAGGGGCACAATGAATACTATTAGCTGACTACTTTCTGCACAATTATTAAGAAATACGTTTTTTTTGTTTGTATTTTAGCAACGAATCATTTCATATATGAACACTAAAGACTATCAAAATATTAGAATAACTACAGTCATATAGAAATCTGCCTTAACATGGTCTGAATTTCCACTAGAAAGTGCCACTCCTGCTACTTAACATTTATAGAGCACTAAACATCTATTAGCATTTCTCACCATAACAATCAATCATAGAATTGGTGATAGCTTGTGCCTAAAATTAACTTCATACAACATCTGAATTGGTAAGAAAAAGGATAATTCTGGCTTAAATATTAGTTGAAAAGTAAGAGTTAGCAAATGGCAACGGTACCAAAAAAACATACTTTCTCAGCTAGTATGTATAAATGTATAAATATACACAAATATGTGAATATAGCATGAATTATAAATCTATAAATCTAAAATTCCTGTTTGCTATTATACTTCGACTTACACAGCTTCATTGATCAACTTTAACTTTTCCTTCCTTTCTGGTCAAAAGCTAGGAAAAATTCTAATAGTGGGAGTTTATAATTCAAAAATAGCCAAGACTTCACATACTAATCAGATTATATACTGAAGGATATCCCTCAGTGCAATACCTTAATCTGAGAGCAAAATATGCTTTAAATGATGTTTTAAAACTTCATTTACTTATTTATGCCAATTATTCAAAAAATGGAAAATTAGGAGCTATCAATTCATCTGAAATCGCCACATACTGCAGAAATTACACCAAATCTGAGTTCCAATTCAACATATCAACAAGAAATTTAGTTTACCTGGCCAAGTTCCTCATTCAGATTAGATGTTCGAGCCATAGCAGCAGTGTCTGTGGGTTCATAATGCATGTCGAGATCCTTTAAAAAAAAAAAAAAGAAATCATTGAATACAGCTGGTAACAAGAGATTCAGTGCAATTTTATTTAACTAGGGAGCTATATATGTAATCACTCCCATCTCTTGCCATTCCTATATCATTTCAGTTGATTTCCCTGAAAAGTACTCAGTATAGAATACAGAATATCATATTTCACAGTAACGGCAGTGTGGTAGTTAGACCATGTCTCTGGAATCAGGCAATCTTGCATTATTATCATTCCACCATTTCCTAGATATGTGACCTATTATAAGGATTAAATAAGATAATGTATGTAAAGTGCTTCCTACTGTGTCTGACACAACGTAAGTGCTTAATGCGAACTAAGATAACAGCAATTAAACACTGCTCAAATAATTAAGACTCTAAACCTCTGGAAAAATCACCTAAGTGATTCTATCTTGTTGTACATTTTTGGCCAAGTTTCTTCCACTGTTCATACTTGAAAGCAAAATGAGTGCACTTCTCAAAACCCAAACAAAAATGTATAGTTCTTGTACCAATTTGTACTTGCTTTGCACTCAGAAATTATGAGTTTTGACTATTAATCCTATAAAAATTAATATTTCCTATAGTAGAACATTTTATTGACAAGTGTAGGGGAACAGAATTTGCCACCCCAAAATGCATCTCTTTGGCTTGAGATTATTTTGGGCTGATTATTTTCAAGAAATGAAAAGACTCAGGAAGAAACTTTGACCTTCCCTATAACCGCCTGAAAGAAGTTAAGACAGAAGGTCTGTTCCAGGAAGGCATTATCATCATAGATAATTATAGTATAATATATACTAGGTGTGGTAGATAGAGAGTAACCTAGCAAGGCCTGTTTGATCAAAGTCCTCTCTGTTTCATTGTCTCTAGACGGCCCAAACAAACACTTGTTTACCAAACGTTAACTCTCTTCATCTTCCTGTAAATGGCCACCTTTCCCTTTGAAGGCCCAGACTCCTGCCCCCTTCTCCTTAGTCCAGTAGGATATATATACCTCATTTTTGCCTGATCGCCTGGAATTTTTCATGCTTATGTGAATTCCCTGTGTGCATGTATTAAATTTGACTTTCTCCTGTTAAACTGCCTTATGTCATTTTAATTATTCGACCAGCCACAAGAACAAAGAGGGGAAGGGGGGGGAATTTTCCCCTCTCCAACACAAGCCAGGGTTTACTGACTTTCACAAGTCAAATGAAAAGGGCAAATTTGATCTCTCCCACATCTGTATTTCTGACTGATCAGTAGCAGTTCTGGAATAGGCTGTTGAGTTAGCATGTTTTAAGAGGAATAGTAAACAACTGGGCAACGTTCAGAGAGGAGTGATTGGAATGGGGATTAAGTTAGGAATCATGTGAAATGAAGAAGAGAATGAGATAGAGGATATTTAGTTAGTGAGGAAAAGATATGATAGAAGAATAGGCATGATAGCTGACTTCAAATATTTTGCAAGGCTATCATTTGGAAACAAGAGTAGACATTTTCATAAAAGACATAAAAGATCTATTGGACAGAACCAGATTCAAAGGGAGGCATTTACTAATCTCATTTCCACAAAAGTAAGAAGTTGGCTGGTAAGGGAAGATCTATCACGAATGTTATAAACTCTCTATATATTAGAGAGGCAGTTGAAAAGCCTAAGTCTGCTGGGGTCATCCAATGCTAAAATTATATGATTATTTGAAGCAAATATTATTTTTGAAAATCCAAATAAAAAATAATAAAGTGACTGACTAGGTATTTGATTTTCACAATGAGTTACTTTATTATTTCAATAAGTGGGACACCTTCAATAAGTTTTAATTGTATTTATATAAATTTCATTATTCAATTTTTCAGCGATGTATCTCCTACAATGAAATGAGCTATGCCTGCAGCTCATTTTAGATTTCTAAATAATACTGATCTTTTATCAATGAATTAAGAGATTGATGGTTGAGGTGGATCCTTTACCATGGGAAGATAATGAGTAGTTGCAAAAGTAGCATCAGTTATGTTTTCAAAAACCCTAATATTGTTCATATTGAAAGACTTTTAAATGATTTAAAAACAAACATCAAAATACCAAAATTCCTTGAAATAAAAGAAAAATTAAACTTGCTGGCAGATTAGGTCTAAAGATTTATTTAATTTACATAAATTCACTAATCTTAACTTTGGTAAAAATAAAATTGAGGCAGAGTAACATATTTTATAAACAAAACATTTAGGAAACAAATGTCCAGCACGTTTTTCCAAGATTAAAAAAAAAATTTAAGACAAAAAAATTAAGAAGAAAAATTCAAGCACAGCTGAAATTGTTTGCAGCGTGGAAAAATAAACTATATAGATGTATAAAGTATGATAGCCCGGTTGCTACAGTAGTGACTATACTATAATTTCTATAGTGGTCAAGTGTTTAGGAAGTGGTCTGTTATATCATGAGATTCTTTTGATCTATATGACCACTGTGAGATGCAGGTAAAGCATGTTTTATCATTCCAGTATGTGTGGCCAAGAAAATAAGTCTCAAAAAATTCAAGTGGCCTAGCAAAGTTCACACAGCTAGTAGATTATAGAAGTAAAACTACAATCCGGATATTTTAACTCTAAACCCCATGGTTCTCCTTTTCCCCAAGACCACTAGGTAACCCAAAAGAGGTTTCCTGAACTACAGGCCTATTTTCCCCAAGATGTCTGGTCTGCAAATTTGCATGATTTTGAGATGAGAGAGTTTGTTATAATTATACTAGGCTCAAGAATATTTTGAAATGTCATCTTGTAGCCTATAAAAGGTAAGGTATAATTAAGACTTTTTTTTTTCCCTGAGAGATCAAAAGACCCTATCAGGAAAAAAGACAAAATGTATGTTTAGAGTGAGGAAAAACAATAATAGTTCATATTTACCCAATTTATGAAGTATGCTTGAGTAAATTTCACCACTTCTAATGTAACCAACAAGCTGATAGGAATGAGATTGTTGAAAAGAATGATGAAGGTCAAGAAATTCAGTCCAAAATTATTAGCGCCACCATCTATTGGGGGAGGTGGGAAAGAAAGTCATTTGCATATTTCATTTGCATTGATCAGAACTTTAGCATAACAAGAATTTTCCATATTATATGGCATATCTAGGTAATTTGGGAGGAACACTGTGCTGATAACATATCCTTGTTCTCAAATACATTCTTTAAGATGGAATAGCATTATTTGTGTTCAATATGTCGTTAATCCTACTGAGAACTGCATAACGGTACTGAAGAGTGAAAAGTACTATCAAGTATTTCAAATCCCGTTCCAAACAGGAAGTTTAAAGATATCAGGGATAGGACTGAGGGTTTATAAATGTAATATCTCAATTGGGTAGAATCACTTTTATATAAATTCTTGAAAAGCATTTCCAATTTAAAGCATGCTTTAAAAGCAAACAAACAAAACAACAGTAGCAAAAACAACAGAGAGCTGGACTCAGGGTAAATTCAGGCCTGAGTAAATTATACTCCTCCTCTTCAATAATGAAAATAAGACAGCGATCTCAGATACACTGTAAAGCTTATGAAGAAACAAATTAATGGGAGTTGTAACAGTTCTAGTGTTGAAACGGCAAATCAACGACTGTAAGAAAACCTGGAATAGCTGCAAAGTGAAATCAGTATAATAAAAAACTGAAAAAATCAATTTTGCTATAAGATTTTACTACAATTTGTTTTCACACTTTTGGAAATTAAGTATTACTGGTTGAGTACTCATCAAAAGGCAATGCAAACTTACTTCCCAGAAACATTCAAGGGTGATACGTTAATCCCACAATAGTAAAAGGATAAACGCTCCAAAAGGAAATTATTTACTAGTTCTTTCCCTAAGACAGGATGACCATTAACAGAGAATTCACCTCATTCATGAGTTCAAATGAAAGTACACTCAATTTAAACATTTTTAAAGCACGTAAACTACGTTTTAGTGCTTTAAATATACTCAATCTGCTTTCTTTACCAGACAGCTATCTATTTACCGATGTCAAAATGTTTTAAAAAAATAAATAACATTAATAAAATAACATTTTATACTACTATGGAACGCTCATTTTATTTTTAAGAATTCTGAAACTTTAGAGATTCTAGCATTTTACTTACTTTTACTGGAAATTGCATTGAAAACTAAAGATTAAATGCCAGGTTATCTTGGCAATGAGGTTTTCTTTTTAGAAATAATAGGAAATTCCAAGATAAACTGTGAAACAAATTCATGTTTTAATGAAAGAAAAATGTCAATAAGCACTTTAATGCTTACAGTTTAGATTGAGATACCAGTCTTTTCCAGAATGCCTTTGATTCCAAATGGCTGAGCCCACAGAACAGATAAGAGACATGGCAATTAAGATACAAAATAAAATCAAAATTTGTACGTTTGTAATCCGTTCCACATTTGAGAGTTTAAGTGGTGGACTTGTTGAATTCTGTAAAAAGAAACAAGATGAGCAATAAAAAACATGTACAAATGATTTAGTAATGAGTATCTAGTATTTTGATGAGGATAACAAAGTCAGTCACAACTCAATAGAGACATGGAAATCTACACATGAAATCTACACATGAAAATTATACAGAAAATAATCACAGATGTAATAACTGTCAAAAGTCAACCACCTCTTTTTCTAAAGGCCACTATACCACCCAGCCCTTTTTTAGAGGATGTAAAACAATAATAAGATGAGAAGGAAATATCCCTTTTGTAGACACAGCTCTTGCATTGTAGCAGGTAAGATGAATAATGCATTACTTGACTACTTAAGCAAAGAGGGTAGACTAGAAGCATCTGTCATCTCAGCTCAGGAAGACAGGCAGAGAAGGCGGCCTATGCACCCACAGCCAGAGACCTGGAAATTCCAAAGTATGAAGGCAACATTTAAAGGATCTCTGGCAACACTGAAAGGATCTCTGGTTTCCAGAGTTCTGGTGGCACTGAGTAATTGTTTTACTGAACATAGCAGCAATCTAAGTAGTCCCGGCTATAAAGAACAACAGAGGCACGTTTCCTCAGCAGTATTTAATGATAAAAAATGATCACGCTAGAGCAAGGCGTCCACAGGACAGAAAATTAAACCTGTCGTAATCAATATGGAATGATTTATAGAACAGTAAGGGGGTGGAATCATTAATAGCAGTCCTGCTTGCCTGTTGATAACATCTTCGTGCCTTTACAAAGTTATCAGCCCTTAAAGCAGATTTTCATTTAATACCTTAAAACTGAGTTTCCTACACCCATCTAACCTCTGAACACTGATGATATTATAATGCAGAGAGGAGTATCCACAGGCATGTGTAAACTACAAGTGCCAGGATTAAAGTTGATTAAAAACGGTCTAACATAAAAATACTGTGAAAAAAGGGTCAACATTTGACTCAAGTTGTTCTTTTAATTTTATGAAAAAATGAAAATAAGTTCTAAAATTTGATCACCATATTAAAATAAAATTATAAGACAAATACTTTAATGCAGGGCACTCATCGTTACAGACAACTTGTATCAATCACTGTAATGGTTAGTAAATGCTGCCAATGGATCAACACACAAAATCATTGAGAGCTCATGCATTAGGTGACCTCTGGGGAAACTTTCCAGGATTCTTGTGTGCAGTGAGCCATTTCACAGTTTCACTCACTGAAGAACAAGATTCTAGATGTACAGAATGGGGCTCAGGAATCTGTGACAGATGGACTGCTATATTTGGGACTACTGCACCAAGAACTACACATAGCACATTTTCAAAAGACTTTGGTCCAAAAGGTTTTCATAGATAAAAATCCCACCTGCATCAGTTTGGTGTCATGTCCAGTGTAGACAACTATTCCATGAACCCATTGTGTATTTCTCAACTGAGCTCCTCGAAGAAGAATCTGATCTGCTCCCAGGGGAACAGTGCTATGACAGATTATGTTGACATTAGAAACGACATTTTCTAAAATGCTTGAGAATTCTACAGCAACTACATAGTTCCAAAAAAGGTTCTGTTATTAAAATAACCCTTCTTAAATTTACTTTATTTTTAGAAAAGTAATTTTCTTACCAATAAGAATAATTTTCTTATACAAGGACAGCTGGAGGGAAGAGTTTCAGTGGCTTCTCCTTAACACCAAACCTGCCATTTCCTACAACTTCACTGTCCAAAATAGTAGGCAATGTTTTGAAATTCAGAGGCTATTTCTCAAACCTATTTAAGACTTTTCCTGATTCAGTGAGTCTGTTTAGGTTTCTGAGGTGTTTGGAAGTGGTGAGGTTAGGGGATCTGATCCCCTTCTCCCACCTTTCTTTAAATTAAAAATGGCTTTGTGCATAACAAAGGTTCAAAAAAATACAAGGTAAGATAAATACATCTCACCATATACTTGGATTGCCATCCCTACCCTCCAGTGCAAAGTCCTATATTTAAAATCTCTAGGGCTTTCATTTTATTGTCTTTGAAGATCAGTTCTCCAAGAACTGTGAATAAATTTCCCATAAATGGTAAGCATCTAACAAATCATAAACACTCCTTTGAAATGACAGCAAATTGAGAGTATCCGTTCCATATAACTGAAACCACATTTTTCATGAATAAGGGTCAAGTTGGGTCTTTTGTGGGTTTAGGTTGTTGGTTGATACAACCTCACACAAAGATGTCAGAAGGGTACAAGCTATCACAGATGTAGTGGGATTCTCGATGGAAATGTACTACACAAAATATAATGGCTCCAGTATTTCTATCACCATGTCTTCATTTTAATAAGAAAAAGGGCAAAAAAGAAAAGTCACATAAAAAGAAAAATACATTGAAAAAAACTTCTGGAAAAAGAAGGAAACAATTTCCCCAAGAAAGGTCTGCACGGAACACAGTGGGGACACAGGGAACACACAACTTCTTTGTCAGTGGAGGCAAAGTGAGACGGAAGCTTTCATTTCTGGTGGGCGTCTATGGTCCAGTAGGCTTCTAAGGCCAGGAGCAGCTTGGGCCTTGGACCTTCTTTCAGAACTACACAAATGTCACTGGCTCAGGTAAAAATCAATCCAGATGAGGGGGTAATAACAGCACCTGAAGCCTTCCATTTAAATGACTAAATCCTTAGGTAACAGTGTATTCTAATTTAGAAAAAGAACATACAGCAACTATAACTCATTCTTCATGCACAATAGTATGCCTTTAGGACCGTTTGGATGGGAACCTGTCTTGTGTATGGCATCTGCTGTACTATGCTCTGGGGCACATATGTGCCAACTGCTCCTTATGTATCCAATGGGGTGTAATACAGCAACTGTCACCTCAGCATTTGTGGTGTGGATTGATGAGAATTAGGTACAAACTCTTTAAAAGCAAAAAATACTAGTTTTCAATTATAAGGACTCAATAGGAGTTAGTTCTTATTAGTTTTTATCAGAGTTGAAATTCCAAAGTTTCTGGCATTAGACAATGACCCTCATCCTTAAAGGAATCAAGGCATGCTCATCCCAACAAAGGAGCTCCAAGAGTTCTGGATAATCCTTGTAAAAGTCAAATGAGCTACAATTACAAAGGTATTGAAAATCTGTTTCCACTTTCACATAAATTAAAGCATACTGCATAAATTCTATCTGTACAATAAATTTTGGCACCATCATACAAAGTTTCTCCTTCACTGCATGAATCTGCTTGGCACCGATTTGATGGGGAATTGATAAGAAATGGAAACTGGCCAGTTAGGAATGTCAGACTATAGAAACATTACTTGTATAAATGGCCAAATCTATCATTAGTCTATAACCATATGTTCACGGAAAGAGCACTCTGTACAAATTTTACAACATATAATTACTTCAAAAATTACGGGATGGGCCGGCCCTGTGGCTTGGTGGTTAAGTGAGCACGCTCCACTGCTGGCGACCCGGGTTCGGATCCCAGGCTCGCACCGACGCGCTGCTTCTCTGGCCATGCTGAGGCCGCGTCCCACATACAGCAACTAGAAGGATGTGCAGCTATGACACGCAACTATCTACTGGGGCTTTGGGGGGAAAAAATAAATAAATAAAATCTTTAAAAAATTATGGGAAAGTTTTTGATGGATCTGAATGAGGATGACAGTTCAGGGTATACTTCAAATGTCCTTGAGAATGCAAAATATTGTAATAGTGCAATTACAAAATAATGAAAGCATGGATAATGTCTCAGGCTGGTGGGCTGAACTAGTGCATTTAGTTGGCCTCTACAAATGCAAAGTAGAGGAGGTGGGAAAGAAGGGAGGCGAAGACCAGAGGAAAAAGAAGGGAGGTAGGAAACATCTCAAGTTGCCACCAGGTCTCATCTCTTTTTCTCCCTTTTGCAATCAAACTCCTTGACAAAGTTGTCTATACTTGCTATTTTCAACTCCTTCCGTTATCTCAAACTCACTTTCATGAGGCTCCACCCGTTCTAATCAAGTCAAGGATAACCACTTGCTAAGTCCAACTATTAATTCTCAGCTTCATTGTAGTTGACCATCAGCAACATCTGATCCATTTCAGTCACTCCCTCTGCCTTGATACAGTTTCTTTACTCTCTCCTGGTTTCCATCTTACCAAGTTGATCTCAGTCTCTTCTGCTGATCCCACCTCTTTTTCCAACCCTAATGTTGGAGAGTCTTGGGACAGTCCTTGGGACTCTTCGCCTTTCTATCTATACCCTTTCACCCTCGATGATTTCTTTCAGTCCCATGGCTTTAAATACCTATGCTAACTACTCCCAAATATATCTCACGAACCCAGATCTCTACTCCAAACTCCAGGTTTATATATTTAACTGCCTCCTTGACATCTGTTTGGACATCATAAATTTACTAAGTCCAAAACATAATTGCTGATATTCCCCCTCAAAACCCTCCATGGCTCCCCATTTCACTTAGAATAACATCCTTACAATGGCCTAGAAAGCCTTGCATGGTCTCTCAGCCCTTCTATAACTCTCTTCTTTGGTCACTCCACTCCAACCACACTGGCGTTCCTGACGTTCCATAATTACTCCAGGCACTTTCCCACTTTAAGACGATGTCATGATACAACTTATAATTTGCATTGACTATTCCTTCTGTCTAGATTCCTCTCCCTCCAGATATTCAAATGGCTAACTTCCTCACCTCCTATTCACCTTTGCTCAAATGTTACCTTCTCAGTGAAGCTTACTGTGACCACCCTAACTAAAAGTGATTCCCTCCCAAGGACTCCAATTTCCCTTATCCTGGGCTATTTGTTCCAAAGCATTTATCATTTTCTAACATAGTATAGAATTTTCTTATCTATCATTTTATTGTTTGTTTGCCCCTCCTTTACTGTAAGAAGGTATGCTCACAAGGGCAGGCATATTTATTTGCTTTGTTCATTGCTGTCTCCTTAACATCTGTGACTAGCCTAGCTTGCTACACGCTTAATAAGTACTGGTTGAACGGATGGGGAAAAGGCAGGAAATAGGAGAGGCGGGGAGGAGAGGGGAGAAGGGCAGGAAGCAAGTAACAGCAAAAGATGACTATAGATGATAACACGGCCTAGAAAAGAGCATATGCAATTACACAGAGAAGAAGACAAGAAATTATCCCGTACAACGAACCCTTTGAGGGTAGAGTCTGAACTCCCTGAGGCATCTAGAGATCACAGGAAAGGAACCAGGACCCTGGACAGTTAAGCCTGTAACATAAGTATCCTGGCCAAAGAATAAGCCACTAAACAATGTGCCAGTAGCCTGGCATATCCCTGAAAACATCCAACTGCCAGGTTGGCAGGAACCCTTGGGAAGTCTTCAGCTATACCATGTGTACAGGGTTAAGAGCTAGCATTTTCACAAAAGGATTTTGGGTAGAAGTAATATAGAAACGCCTAAAAAAAGGTCTGGAGTGATCAAGCTTAGAGCACAAGAAAATAATATGTACCCAGGCTTGGAAGCCACTCGGCAGTACACTGTGACACAGTGGCTTCTGGGTTTTTTATGAAGACCGATTTTACCTACCCATGTCCGTCAAGTATTATGTTGCCAACAAAATCGTAGAGATGTCTATTTGGACTTTCACACTCGATTCTGCCAGAAATTCTCATCAAACTGTCAATGTCTTTTATATCTGCTGTTGCTGGTAAGCCCTGTTTAGAAATTTTTAAATAAGCAAAAAAGGTATTAAATAAGTTGCGTGTGGGAGGGAAGGGGAAATCTGAATTCATCCAGGCCTGAACATCTAAGAGATCCAGCTATTCTATAAGCAATTCTCCTCCCTTATACAATACTCTCTTTGTCAAATCATAATTAAGGATAACTTCTTCTACGCTGGAACACAGGTTTTTAGCCCAAGAACAGGGCAGCTTTTGTGAAAGTTCTAAAATATATCAAAAAGACTATAAACTAGTCTGCAAAGATATTTGAAATAAGTCCTCCAAGAACTGTTTGCTTCCAAAAATAAAATTAATATTTAGCATTATACAGTCTAAAACTGTCTGCCAAATCTCAAAAAGGGAAGGCAAAATGAATAGAATCTACGCCCAAAGAGAGTAGTTATGTTTCTGCTCTTTCAGCGCGCTGAGAAGGCAAACTCCAAAATAGTTCCTCTCTCTGGCCAACCAGAACTGGCTGGAAGTGCCCAGGCCCCACTTACTATGGCTCCCTGAGTTTGGGTGCTGTGATGACCGACTTCCACCACGTCCCGGCCTTCCCAAATGCTATTTTCACTATTCGCTTAGGACCCAAGAGAATACAATTTTTAAAATCCCTTTTAAAACTTTCAAAATAAAAACTTTACAGTTGCTTTCTGTTAGGGATGGTATGAGAAGTAAATATAGAAATCTAAACTATTCCCTGAGATTAATGAGATTTTTACAACAGCAATGGAAAAGTACGTCTTTTCAATATGGCAAATTCAATGGGCCAAGTGAATAGGGAAAATAAATAAGCTAACATATTTCAAAATACATAGAACTACTATTATTATTATCATGATCAGAGTGTTGGCTATTACACAAAATATTAAAAATACTCCAAATAGCATCTATGTGATGGACAGTATTTAATTAGGCAAGCAAATCTGAGTCTTCCATAATACTTAACAATACCAGTTTACAAAGCCTCTTCACAGTGGCTCTGTGAGAAAATACTTGCAATTGGACAGAAATGCTTCAACTCAAGACAATAACACTAAGAAATACAGCTCTTAATTCCAGGCAATAAAACAGCAATAATTATAGAACCTGTATTAGATCTTACCTGTCTAATTTTCAGGTTTGTTTCACCATCTAAGTTGGATGTTTCAATGTAGCACACGGCCTGGGGCTCACTGTTGTTTAAAATTGAAAGCACAAAGATTTAGCGAGGGAAGGAAAGCATAATAATAACTTAAATGCTCAGACTCGCTGAAGCCTTTCATTCTAAACAAAGCTTTAATTATCTAGTTTCTTGATGATTTTCATTCTAACAGCAAGATGCTGTGAGGCAGAACCCATGCAGACAGCTCATGGATCAGCTTTTCAGCCAGAGGGACCCAGAAGCAATTTCCTGACAACAATTAGTACTGATCTTCCACATAATGTAAATGATTAGATTTGTCATATTATATTTGAATTGTTCATCTGTATAGATACAACACAGACTGTCTCTGAAATGTAAAGCAGTTCTGTGTCCAAATTTATTTTTAGCTCAAAAATATCAGTGAGATTTCATGCTCATAGCCCACATGTAAGTTGGGTAAGGAAAGTGGCTGATTAGAAAATTCCAGACTGCTGCTTCTACAGACTTGCATTTACTACCCTTTTAGAAAAGATGAATAGGATCATATGAACTATAATATTTAAATTTTAGGCTACCTGAAAAAACTGTATGAACAGATTTTACAGTGAAAGTGGATTTACCCTTCTCCCCCTATTTTTTCTGCTCCTGTTCTCCTACTTCTTAAAGTTGCTCCAGAGAGTCTCGTGGCAGCAAAAGTTAAAACTAAAATCAGCCAATTTGGCCGTATTTCTCCCTGACCTGAACCTAGAGGATCCACTTTACGGGCCCCCACCCGAGAGCTTTATCAAAGTCTAGTGTGCAGTGGCTGGTGTAAGGGGTCCACGTTCTCCAGTTTTATTACAGGGACCACACTCAGGGCCGTCTTAAATGCTGCCCCTTCACACTCTGACTTTACTTGCCCAGCAATTACAGACAGGTGAGCTTGCAGCCCAACTGTATAATCTGATCCTCAACTATACGGAAAAGCATTCTGAAATTAAATCAATCTTATTAGCACCTGGTTATATAATAAGCCTAATTAACCAACATCATGTAAGAAACTATGAAAGTAATCTCTGATAAGCATGTGTACTCAAAGTTAGAAAGAAAGAAATTTCTAAGTCACGAACACCTGGAATTTTCTAATCAACTTCCAATTTCTACATGTGTAAAGCAGACTATTCCAAGTTTCGGAAATGGGTTTGTAGCTTTTGTGGCCTGAAGATCTGTGAAAATTACTGAAACACATGTATCAAATATTTTACAGATACATTATAAAATAACTTTGCAAGTTCTTCAATTTACTCTATGGACTTTTTTTTTCTCCATAAGGGCTGATACTTTTTCCACTGGAGAAGTTTTCAATATTTATATTTTCACTCTATCAATTATTCAAAGTTTTATTTTTTATTACTGTCACAATAGTAATTTGGCTCTGGCAACTGCTCCCAACTGGAATTTACTTATGTATACATTTGAAATATAAATGGTTTATGAAATTGCAAAACACATCTTCTGACAATATAGAAGCATGATGACAAACAAATGCTAAATGAACTATGTTGGTTCCATATTTTGGCAGTAAAATGCATTAAAATTTTACAGATAAATATATCCAAGGCCATTTTCATATTAAAATAAGAATAATCTTCTAATTCTTTTTCTTTTTTTTAAATAAAACAATGTTTTCAGGACTTTAAATGGCTAGGAAGTTAGAGTTAAGTGGCTGATGTCTATTTGAAGCGAGCATATACAATATGCATCCAAATTCAGCACATTCTTAATCCCGTAAGACAGCTGTTACTGAAGCGGTTCTAAACAGCGCTATGAAAAGACAGCAAGAAGTCTCAGAAAAGAAATCATGCTAGATAACACATATTTCAGCAAATTATGACGACATCCAAAACACAAACTACAGTCAGAGAGGCAAAGCAGGTTTTTTGATTAGTAAGTGGAAAAATGAACAAGATACATATCACGATACAGACACTAGTAGACAGCTGAAATTGATCACAGTAACGTGCACTTTGTCACTAGTTACAAGTGGGATAAAAACTGATCCCAAAGCATGCAGTACAAAATGTACAACATCCAGCTTTGTGCAGGGGGTCCTCTGTAAACCCTATACGAGCCCGAATTATAGTCATAATTGCTGAAGGGATTCTATAGAACTTACAGAAAATTTCAAATATAAGAATAAGACAAATGTTAAAATCTTAAAAATTTCTCAATTACTTTTTTTCACGTAAAGGTTAACATTGTTCAAAACAATGTCCTGGAGAAGTAATAAATTAAGCCTTAGTATTTAGGCATGTTGTTAAATATGAATATATATTAATGATGCACAGGAAATTAAAATCTACCTTTACTGGCATGCCTCATGGACTCCTATTGATAACAATAGGAGCTGAATCTGCCCACTTGAGGGACGAACATAATCCAACACTGTATTTATAAAAGGCCTTTAAAACATCTGTGAAATGCCCTTCACCAAGAAATATAAAAAAGTTTTGTGTTTTAAAAGAAGAGACACAGAACTTAACCATCTTTGGGTGCAAACTGTTCTCTGGTGTAGGGTGAGGATCCACATACACATATCCTGTACGACTCAGTGGTTCTAACCTTGAGGACAGGCTGATGAGATCTGCTGGGAGATGTTCCCCATTGGTCACTTTCACTATTTCCCCTACTGTCACCTACAGGTCCCAGTTTAAAATAATTAAAACGGAAAAAAAATGAATAACAGAGAAAAAAACAAACAAATGGACAAAAGAGACAGAAAGTTTGAAATTATTATAGAAAATAATACATGTTAATAAAAATGTCTAATGCCAATTTTTTCAAAACTTATTTGATCAGGTCTAAAGGCACAAGAAAACTGAATATTTAAGGGTGACATATTTGCTTTTAAGCCCAATCATCAATTTTTAATGGGGAAACTTTTAATTTTTTAAAGTTTACTCAGAAGCATATCTTATCAAATTAAATAAAAACATTTTGATATAGAGAGCTACGTTATCTTATAGATTTCCCTTTCTGATGCCATCTACTGTATGTCCACTCCTACCTACCCAAGAAGAAAAGAAATAATGGTGGAAACTACTTTTTAGGCTTTTGAGAAACAAAGTATACTACACTATTTCTCCCCCTACACATAACCTAAAAAAATAACGTTATTAAAAATTTTCTGATTCCAAAATTTTTTCAAAGTTAAGTCCCTAAATATCTTATTAACTTTAATGCAAAGCTGCAAAGACATGGATCTTAGGAAGTTAGAAGGCATAATTGCAGCCTTTTGAGTTATTTAAAATTAATCAAGTCTAGGTAATGCATTGTTTTGGGAGGGTAAGCCTTTGAATCCAGGAGAAAATTTTCAGAGAGGGCATGAAATAGACACGCCAAGAACCTGTTTGGATTTGATTTAATAACGAGTTATTTTACTCTATTTTATACTTTCTAAACCCATATATGTATTTGTTTCTTACAGGTTAAAATTTCAGTTTCTTCATTTCAAAATGAAAATCAATGAGACACTAACTTTCAACCATGTTCATGCTTTAATTTCAAACTGCCTCAAAGAAGATGCACTATTAGTAATTAATAATTGAAAAATATTTGGAAATTACATTATTATAAGTTGTTTACACTCACTGCTAAATGGTGCTCACCTGCAGGTGATAATCACCATGTCCTTATTTTGACAATGGACAGTGTGGCATAATGAAGATATTAGATTAGGAGTTAAGTATTCCAACCTTGACCCAGTCATCAGCTAAAGTTAAATAGCTAAAAATAAGACCAAGTCAAAATTCCTCTTTCTGTTAAATGATGACAAAAACTTCTACGTACTTCTTAAGGCTAATGTAGGTTCAAAAGTGTCAAGTAAATCAAAAACTTTCTGAGAAAAAAACAAAACAACTGAAAGGTGGTATTTTGCCACTTGGATAGAAATATCTAACAATGGAAGCTTTACACTTTATTTTGAATCCTACTAAATAACAAAAAACAGTGAATCAGATAATCTTTTTAAAAATAATAATCTTTGGAGGAAGTTAATCACTATGGATGTTATATTAAGATATAAAAACTATTTTGATCTACCAATATTGATAGCCACCAGTGAATGTTTTTAATGCTGAGATAATAAATCCCGTAAAAATGCTCTGAAGTTGAAGAAATACAAGCACAGAGCTTACTGAGAGTTTTCAAGATTGGAGAGAGGCAGATGAAAAATATTTTGAAAACTTTCAACTTAGAATTAAGTATAAAGTCAGAGTAGTACAGTCAATTATCTTCATATTTTTGAGCATACAAAAACCATTGTAATTAATGGTTCAGCATATATGGTGCTCTCTATATCTCTACAGTAAGTTTGACCAGGAAAACATCAGTACTCTCTTAAATTGCTGGAATGCTTTACTATCATTTTGAACTTTGTTATATGACATTCAGATGGTCAACCATCCATTACATTTATCAAACTTTTACTTAGTACCACCAAATGCACATCGTTCTGTTGGTTAGGTACTCTTAAAACTTAAATGAAAGATTATTTAAACAAAAAAGAGAATCAGGGAATACTAGAGTTTAATCATTGAATGCATTTTCCTCACTTTGAAAGATGTGAAACCAAGGCCTGAGAGATTAAGTATTTTGTTCAAAATCACCAAGCCAGGAATAAGAACTCCGGTTTTCTGCTTCCTAAGTAGAGCTCCATCTAGCACCAGATGCTACCCAGTACCGGAGACAATGACAGTAAGCCCGCTGTTAAACTCATTCTTACACGGCCATGTGTGGATCATTACCTTTACTTGTTTTAGAAACTTAGCCTGATAAAGCTATAAGCAATGGAAACGAATAATGGAAAGCCTGGTTTAAAAACCTATTAATTTTAATTTTTCTGAAAATAAAACCTATAGGTAAGTGGCACAAAAAGCTCTCAACTATAAAATATGGAACTATACCTATAGTTAATTCACTACCTGTAGATTTACTTCTATAAATATCTGGATAACTCTTATTTGCTCAATTAAGTTTCACTAACTTGTCATAAATCCAATCACTTTAAATAATGACCTGATTAAACAGATTTTGAAAAAAGGACAGTGTCCATATTTATATGTGGATTTTACAAGTAAAACTGTCCAAGGAAATGATGATAAACAACCTCTAAAATATTAAAAACATTTTTTCTTAATTTATATTAGGACTAGTTTTATAGTTTTTAAACCTAAAACCATTTGAAAGTGACATTCTTTAAAGGGTAACAGTGCCATATGTTCTGAATACTAATTCATGACTATCTTAAATATGAGTAAAACAAAAACTATCTAAATTCAGTGCTGGAAAGAACTTAAAAGAAAGAGCAAAGTAATTTTTTGTTGAAAGAGTATGGCATTTCAAAAGATATCATGACAAAAAAGAAATCATTCATTCATTTTCTTGTACCAATGCACCCATAAAGATCAAGAAACTTTGGAGGGATATACAAATACATCATAAAGGAATTTATCATGAACAAGGATTGCAAGATAAAATCAACAGAACCCAATCCATGTATTATATAAAATAAATGACAGGAAACCTTACAAGAGTTAGTGGTCCACACAAAAGGATCTGGACATATCCAAAGGCAGAGCAGACTCTTAATTGTAATTATAACTTTTTAATTATAAAGTATAGTACCTATCACTTATTCTATATGACAAACATGAGAGAGTCCTTTAAGTGCAATCAATCATTTTAATGCATAATTCAAAATCATTAGAGAGGTTTAAAATTCTTCGTTTATTCTTTATTTCCTTGGAGAAATCATAAGGTCAATGCAGGGTAGAGAAACCATCCTCTACACTGTTTGAGCATCAGCAGGTATCTCTACCTTGATGAGAGAAGTACAGTGTCAGCAGGTATATACTCTTTGCCTTTTATTATAACTATATCTCCAACATTTACCTGAAAGAAAACTGGGAATCAGTTAATTATCTGCATTGAAAGATAGTTACAAATATACAACCCATTGTATTTAAGCACAGAATACAGTAAAAATGGTTATTGGCAAACAAGAACCACTTATCTTCACAAAATGGCATAAAATTATCTAGGGGTGAGGCCAAGGATGGGGCAATCCTTTAAAAAATGAATGTTGTATCTTTGTTTCATCAGCTGTATAACTTAATAAATCTATTCACTCTATTCATTTAATTGACATCTCAACTTCTCATATTCTCTCCTTATGACATAAAAATAAAAAGGAGGAATTTACCAAATGAAATTTACCCAGTTTAAGGAAATCTCAATACAACTGGAAAAACTATCATATATATGATCATTACTCCTCATGATGACCTTATGAAACATGTGTTAGAATTTATAATTTAGAGAGGAAGAAAATGAGTCTTAGATTGTAAGTTATTTGCCCAAGATCACAGTGAGAGGAAGAGCTTAGACTCAAACCCACATCTGACTGTCTGCAAAGCCTGATTTTGCATAAGTAAATATAGCGAAACTATCACTGTATTTTAAATTAAAAAAAACAGCTTAATCTCTTTCTCATTTTACTACCTGTTAGCATTTTTTGTGAGCCTGGCCTGAAAACGAATTAAAGATATACTGTGGTCAGAAACTGTTAGAAGTAATTTGACAGGTTTGTCACAGAGCTTTTGGCAAACATTTCAACTCCAACTAAGTAACAACTTGGCTTGTTGACCAAATTACACTGATAGCGACTCCCACTATATCGTGAAAGTTGCCCTCTCTCTTAGTAGCCAAATGAATCTAAAAATAAGTTTCAACACTTAATCGAGAGAAGAAAAGCTTTTAATCGAGAGAAGAAAAGCTTTTTTTGTTAAAGCCTTTTTGTTCTTTCCCCTCCCTACTCTTCCTTAAACCCTAAAATAATACTTTACTGGGGGGAGGAAGAGAATGGTGTCTTCAGTGGGAATCACAATAAGAAATGATTGCAGAGACAGCCCACAGTGGTCTACTTTATATACCAGGGGAGGAGCAGGTTAGGGAAGATTGCAGGGGGCCTTCTCATCTATGGTATGTGTGCTGGTTATCCAGGTAGGGGAGCTCTGGATGCCTTGATTCAAAAGAGATTTATTTCAGCTAAAATCTGGATTACCCGAAAACTGACAAATTGCCAGGGACCTTGGAATCAAACACCCTCTTCCCCACAAAGGGCAAACTGGGAAAATAAAAAACAGCAAGTATAGGTGTAAACTGGCCCTTAAAGTAATGTGTTGTGACAGTACTCTGAGAACACCCACTGAAAGCAAGGTAAAGAAATACAAGTTCTTTGTAGCCATGGCACTTGGAGAGAATGCTACCTAAGTCTACCAGTGAATTGTACTTTAATCACCTCTTGCGTGCTAATGTTTGCCTCTCCAATTAGACTATATGCTTCATAAAATCAGGATCATATCTGTCTACATTACAGTGTTAGAGTCAAACAGACTTAGGAAAATTCCTAATTGATTGCACTGCTTTCCAACATCTTTATTCATTGTAAGACAAAAGAAAGGCTTGTGTTTATTACACTGAAGACTAAAAGAAAACATTAGCACCTTATATGGTATAATGTAGTTACCTCAGTGGCCTGGAAAAACCAAGGGCTCACTGAATGCTAAAATAGCTCTCCTCAGGGAACTTACTTCTCCTTATGAGGCCTATGTTTTACATGACTTTCTCAAACACATCCAAGCCCCTCTCTTTCTTGTTGAGTTCTGAGCTCCTAATGTGGCATTCCCCCTTCCAGCCCGGCGTGTGCACAAGAGGAACAGACCAAAGAGAGTCAAGATGGCAAAAATTCTTTGACCACATGTTCTAATTGGAGGAACACCATGACAAAGCAGTTTTAGTCCCTAAAATACTGAAGGAAACATTTAGGCCTTTAGGCTACTACCTTGAGCCTTCTCAAGTCATTGACATTAGTAATTATAATTGAGGATTATGTAAAAGGGTAAGCTTATCAAACTGATTTAAAACCTGTTTTTGTCCAATTGTAGGCCCCAGCATATTTATATTCTTACTAAGGAATTTTTGGAGATATAAATTCTTAGTCCAAAGAAATACATTTCATGCATTAAAGCAGCTTTATAAAGTGACTTTTATACATGCACACAGCCCATCACTCCATGTTCTCTACGAAGCCAGAAGAAGGTGTTGATTCTAAGATTCGTCACCTAAGTTCTCCACCTGCAACTATCTCAAAAAACCTCTGAAGAGACTCAGCTGCATCTCAATTTGAAGAACTGGTCTTCGTGGCAAGAGCAAAGACGACAGCTGTTTACATTCCAAGAGTGGAAATGGAGTGCCTTGAATAAGGCTTTGTAATTGCAATATTTTCTTTAAAAACCAGATACTTGCAACTTAACCTCGAGCAACAGTGAAGCGGCTTCAGGTAATAACTGGTGAGATGAACTGCTAATGTTTGAGAGCTGAAGTCTGCCCATCTGTGAATGACTAGATGTACGCTGTGTAAATTTGTAGGTCCTTTGAGAACCATTCAAAAGCAACCACAGCAGCCACACATTTAGAAAGGCAGAGAAAGAAAACACCCTGAACTAAAGCCCATTTGCACTACGGTTTATCATATTACCTTGGCATGTGGATCAGACTCTTGGTTTCGGTTTATTGATTTTATTTTTAATTGCACAGAATATTACATAAGCTAAAGAAATAACTAGCCCCACAACCTGGCTAACCCAACAAGCAAGACTGCTTTCATGTCTGTCCACTTAGTCTTCAATAAACCATTTTACATAGCCAGCATCTTAGTGTCCACATCCTGTTCTTTTCACCTATAATTATATTTTATGACACAGGAATCTTCATATGTATTGCTTGCTGCTGTGAGCTCACTGCTTGGCACATACACTCCATAAATACTTCTTGAATGAATGGTACAAAATTTTACTTGTCACAAAATATACCAGAGTGTAGAACGCCATTATTTATAAAACACTCTCTATTGTTGGATATCCACGTATTCTAACTTTTCACTATTATAAATAATGCTACAGTAAACATTTTTATACATATACAGGTTTTTCCCCACTTTATGATTATTTTCTCAGCATAAATTCCCCAAATCCCCTTTTTATGGTTCTCAGTATGAAGAACTGCTAACCCACAATAGTACGTAAATAAAATACTGATAAAAATAAAAATTCTGAAGTATAAGTGAGTTTGTTTTTCTTTATTGACTGGATAGTAAATAAGACTTCAATATTGTTTATTATTATTATTTGCTACTTTTATTATTAGGTTGAATATTATACTGAGTCTGACTATTTTTTATTGCTTACTGCCAATTTTTATTTCCTATTTATATAGGTGCAAATATTTTCCATCTTCTGCCTTATTTGTGGTAGTTTTTGTTGTGCTAGTTTTAAATTTTATACAATCAAATTCCAAGGATCTTGAGATCTTGCTCCTCTCCAAATATTTATTAAAGTCTTTATTCTCTTTGTATGTTTTTCAAAAACAATGTTTTAACATTTAACTCTTTTAGCCAGTTTGAATTTATTTTAACACAGGCTGTGACTTAGATACAAAGTGTATTATTTCTTGAAACTGCTAATCTGTAATCCCAATATGATTTATTAAATAATCCTTTTACTGATGATTTGCCTCCTTTATCAAATATGAAATGGGCTTTATTTCAGGGCATTCTCTTCTACTCTATTCACCAATGTCTGTCTTTTATTTTTGCAGTTGAGCCACACTATTTTAATAACTTTGCTTTCCATTTTACTTCAAGTTAATCCTTCCACACTGTTCTTTATTTTTCCAAAACATTCTTTTATTTTCTCAACTGTTTATTTTTGAAGTTAAGATGAATAATTTAGTCACCTCTTGAGGAAAAAATGATAATTTCTCTGGGATTATATTATGTCAATACTTTGGAACTATGGCTATTTTTAGTTTTTCTAGGAATATGACATATTTGTACATTTAATACAAACTCTTTAATACCTAAAGTTTGATGTTTTCTTTACAAAGGTCATATAGATATCTTAACTTTATAATTATCTCAAATGCCACTGGGAATGAGATCTCTTTTTCACTGTATTTTTCTAACTTGATATTGCCAACAAAAGAATGCCGTTAATTTTTGAATATTTATCTTAACTCATCATTGAACCAACTTTATTAATTCTAATTAATTATCTAATTCTAATTATTAAGTAACATCAGCTCATTTTGGCTGGATGACTTTTGGCAACAGTTTAAATTCTATCCCTTTGTATCTCAAAGTGGGATGCCCAGGTAAACTGTGGCACCGATCTCCAAGACCACTGAAAACGCTATCATTATGGGGCCTGGTAATTTAATTTTTTTTGTCTGTGAAAAATAGAAAAAGTAAGAGTTATAATAATCCAGGTGGATTAGTACAATCTTGAAATAATGACTGTCTATTATGAAGATAAGACATTTTAACGGTTAATTTTAAAGTTATAGATGGTTATCTCCTGACTTTACAACTGCTTCTTTTCTGAACAAGCACTCTAGGTAAGAAGAAATTGATTGATCAGTTTGTTAGGATGTGCATTTATATTAACTACACTGACAACCCTAGTAAAGGAAATATGATAAAATTTAATTAATCCCACTTGCTCATATCCTACCTGTCTTCTCTCTAAAATGCTTACATCCACAAGTGCCAGAAAAGAGCATAAGAGAAACTTCTTTTGAAACAGTATTTTGAGCGTTTTTTTTTTTTATCTTGATCCTCTGAAAAAGAGGTGACTATCACAGAAATAAGGAAAGCATAATCAAGGTATTTTCCTTTGTTACTTTTATGTCCAAGACCAAAGAGAGAGAGAGTGGTGAATTTTCAAATATCTGGAAAAGGAGATGTCAATCTCTATTCTAGCCGCCGATTTAAAATCAACAAAAATGTATTGATTCAGAGGGAATCTTATTCCCTGCAGGGATACAAGGTGACTATGAACATCACAAGGCAGAATCAAGGGCACGGCCTTTAATGCACTGGGAAGCACTGGAGTGCAAATAAATGGGCTATGGGTCACACCTCTGTAGTCCTAGCAATCTCAGAAACAAAGTCCCCTGGGTGGAGTGGCCTCTCCTCCAAAAGTTTTTTACCTAGTTACACAGGTTATTCACTTGGGCATGACTAGAGGTTAAATGTTCTTCCAGAACTAAGGGAGAACGAATAATAATTGCTTACCTTTTGAAACTGAGGTCTGAAAAGTATATGAACCCTTGGATAACACGTGTTAAATTATGACTCAACTCGCTAATTGCCATGTTAGAAGTCCTGTGAGCAACTTAACCTCTTGATGTTACAGAACTGATTTCCAGCTCATTAGAAGATAATAGTTAGTAAGACTTTTTTCCTTAAGGAATTAGCAGTGTGTAAACATGATTAGTCACCATATATGAATTTGAAGTAAAATATGCAAATGTGAAAAATCAGAACTCTAATTTTTGTTTTTACTTGGACAGTAGATGATTAAAGCAAAAAATCACAACACAAAACAGTTCATGGTCAAATGAAATCTATGACAACAGTACTAAAAATATACTATGAAAGAAAAAGAAAAAGTTCTAATTATTACTTTACAAGATAATGGTCTTTCTAGCATATTGCAGAAATATTAAATGAAAGTTTAACTGAAGACTCCATGTATATTTACAATTTTAATTACTAAATTGCTTTCATATTAGTGGAATTCTTGATATCTGCTTGTATAATATACAAAAATTACATCTACTAGAGTATTTTATGCATTTCTTCACCTGGAACGAAGTAAAAATCAATGCATACCTTTTCCCAGTGAACAATTTCCCAAGCACCATTTCTCAACACTGGAAAGAGAAAAGGTGACATTTTAAAGAACATTTTTGCTACTTATCAAAAGCCTATTTCTGATGAAATGATGATCATTTTAAACGAACAGTTTAAATTCACTAGGAGCAATTTTTACAGGTTTAAAAAACTAATTATGACAGTAAAGATATGAAAAATTATACAAACAATTAGGAACAACCAATGCATATTTTAGGTCCCACAATAAAACACTGCTAACAGAGAGTAATCTCACTGGTGTTGCCAAGGGCTTTCTTTAGCACATAGAGGAATTATAGGGCTCACTGGAGGAGAAAGCCAGAAAAATGATGTGAAAAAGGGAGTGACAAGCTTAAAAAAACATTTCAGAAGCCATAACAACAGCAATGTTTAAAAAAAAAAGATCACAAGCACAAAGGAATAGATTTCAAATTGGTTAGTAAAAATTTAACACATAAACCAACAGATAATCTGCACCCCTGGCTTTATAATAATGCAAAAGAGCAAAAGTTTCCATATTTAGTTTACTCAGAAGAAACGAAAGAGGCTACTATTAAATTGTGACAGAGGGGTTGATATTTCTTAGTGTTTCGTTACGGCTTCGCAACAGTAAAGTTACTCAGTACACCCTTTTTTCCTACTATGTGTCTGTGGCATAATACTGAAAATACCAATAGACACTAAGAGATAAAACAAAAAATGGGAAAGAAGAGTGTGAGGTAGACAGCACAGCACTGAGTACTTAAGAAAAGGAGCAAGTCAAGGTCAATCCCAACAGTAAATTCCATGAGGGCAAAGCTCATATTTGCTTTGTTTAACACTATATTCCCTGGAAACAGCACAGTACCTGGCACAACGTGCTACTTGACAAATATTTGCAGGATGAATAATTTAAAGGTACAAAAACATTAGATCCAGTTTCTTTTGATATTAGAAGAGATGACGCCTGAACCCTCTGTATTAAGTAAATCACAATGATAATAATCCCCCAAACGTTAAATGGCAAATCTAACATTAACTACATACGAGCAAGTCCTGAAACTGGTATTACAATATAAATTATTTTAATCTAAAAATAATCTTTTTGTGTTTTAAAATTCCCTGAACACAGGCTGTGTCTTATTCATTTCTTTATCTCTAGCACCATGTAGCATTCCTAACACATAAGACACTCAAATGCTTGTTAAACAAATGAATAAATGCAACAACGAATATCTTACAGTGTACTTAGGTGAATCAACATCATTAATTAAAAAAAAAAAAAACTAATTCCAAGTTTAAGAGCTGAAATTAAAGTATTTCCAGCACAATATCTGTAACTGTATAAGTAAGTTAAAGTTCCAGTTTTACAGTACTCAACAATTCAGAGTCAACAACCTGAACCACACGCATCTAAAATTGCTATATCCTAAAGCACAAAACTCTAATGCCTGCAGAGTTTACTGATTCCAGGAGTAAACTTGCTCCTTGCTGCTGCTCCCAGAGTATGAGGAGTTCAGAGTATGAGACAGAGTAAAAAAGCCCTGGGTTTAGATGCCATCTCTGCCACCGCCCAGCAGTATCTCCCTCAAATTAGTTGTTACAAAGAATAAATAATAAATGAGAGCAGTCTTGCCCTTTAACCACTTAATCCAGTGGCTACAATATAAGTACTCAACAAAGAGAGCTGGCAAAGTGCTGTTCAAATCAACCATAACCACGATTAACTGACACTGAATGATGGGACTGAAGTTTTTATTAATTTAAATTAGAAACAGTATTCAATAGTGTTCAATAGTATCTGAAGCTCTTTATTGACATTAATTTTCTTCTGATCCTATCTCATATTAGTAAACATTCCCCCAAATGCAATACTTAGGTTTTAAAAAAAAAAACAGTGTCCAATATTTCTAAAATCAAGAGATTTGACATGAAAATGAAGACTTCGGGCTTATCTGGAAAGCTCAGAAGGTCAGTCAATTCTTGCATTGTGACATGTGCCTGGAACAGAGCAGCGGCCACCTCTTCCAGTGGGGCTCACCACTCCTGCACCAAATTCATGGTTTCCTGCTGCTTTGTACCCAGCCCGCTTCCCTTATTTGAGGCACCTGCCTGGCTCATGCTCATGAGATTTTCTTTTGTTAATCAAGGTACAACTTCTAATCAAATGTACAGATCTTAAGTGTTCTGTTCAGTGAGTTTTGAAAATTGTAAACACCTATGAATCCACCACTCAGAACAAGATATAGAACTCCAGAAAGATCCCTCATGCCCTTTTACAATCCACCCCTTCATCCCTGGAGGCAAAAATAAATTAGGCACCACAGATTAGTCTTGCATTCCATATACATTGAGTCATACAGCACGTATGTATTTTTGTATTGAGCTTTCAATCAACATATCTGAGATTCTATTTAAAAGATTTTTCTTTCCTCATTAAATTGACATGAACTACAGTGGATCAATTTCAGGACTCTGTATTTATTCCATTGATCAATTTGCATATCTTGCACAAATACACACCATCTTGATTATTGTAACTTTATGGTAAGTCTTGAAATAAGGTAGTGTAAATCCTCCCACTTTGTTCTTTTTTAATATTGTTTTGGCTATTCTAAGTTCTTTGCATTTCCATATAAATTTTAGAATCAAATTGTCAATTCTTAAAAAAATCCTCTTGGGATTTTGATTTGGGGCTCAAGTCTTTCAATTCATGGACAAGCTATATCTCTCCATTTACTTACGTCTTCATTAATTTCTCTCAGATATGTTTTTGTAGTTTACAGTGTATGGGTCTTTCATTAGATTATTTCTTGATATTTGACAACTTTTTTCTTATATTGTAAATGGTATTTTTTACTCCATTTTCCAATTGCTCACTGGTAGTATACAGAAATGAATTCAACTTTCGTACAATAGACCCTGTCATCCTGTAATTTTGTTAAATCCACTTATTAGTTTGGGTAGGGTTTTTCCATTGTTTACAAAAACAATATTTTCTAAGAAACTTAATTTCTGTTTGTTAACAATGCTGTATTATGATTTGGGGCAATTTTACTAGGCTCATATGCCTCACTGTCTATTTTTAAACTCCTCTGCTCTTATGCAAAAAAAAAAAAATCTTTGAAAATTGGGAATAATTTTTACTACTAAAAATATCCTGTTAATTTTATATCCTAAGCATCTCAACTTCTGCCCAATTTTATCTCCCCCACCATCACCAACACCCCTATTTCAAGCGACCATCATCTCCCAACTGGAGGTCTGCATTAACCTCTCAACTAATTTCCTGCATTCTCTCTTGATCTCTTCCAAATTTAATTTCGAAAGTATAGCTGTAATGACTATATAGAATGATTTTACATATATGTACAATTATGGATTATTATGCATCAACCCATACATCCTTACACACACACATACATATATAAGATTAGATCATCCCTTGCTCACAACTCTTCAACTGGCCCCCTTTGGTTCATAAAATAAGTCTAAATATCTGGAAGGTCTTTGATGAAGCAGCTCCTGCCTATTCTCCATCATGGCCTCTTACCACTACCCCTGCCCCCTCCCCACACCCTCTGTGGTGAAAGCAACATGCTCTTTCTTGCCTCAAGTCCTTAGCCCACGTTTTCACGGCTGGAATACTCTTTCCCTCCATCCTCACCTAGATAATTTCTACATATCTTCCAGATCTTAGCTTTAACACCACTTTCCCAGGGGACATTTTTTTAACGCCAACTCCTTTAACACTACTCTCAAGTCTAAATGAGCTCCCTGCACTTTTCCTTCAGAGCACTTATGACAGTTTTACTATATATTTAGTTGAGAGAGGATTTATGTAAGGGCTCTCTCTTCCCCTAGACTGTAAGATCTGGGACAACAGGAACCTTCTCTATTCTGTTCACTGCTGTATTCCCAGTGTTATGAATGGGAAGCAACACAAAGGTGCTCAGTAAATACTTGCTGGATGGAAAGCTGGATCCACTGACGTTTGTATGTGTTTGGGACCACAGGAAGACATAGTAATAACTACATGCATTTATTAAAGATACAACCCTGCTTCCTAGTAGATCTCAAGTTAAAAACAACATACACATGACGTTTAAAAAATAGCTATAGAGGAAAACACTGTGGCAGTTCCTCAACAAGTTAAGCACAGGGCTACCATATGACCCAGCAATCCCACACCTAAGTATATATCCAAGAGAACTGAACATATAACGTTCACACAAAAATGTGTACACAAATGTTCATTGTACCATTATTCATAATAGCCAAAAAGTGGAAACAAATCAAATGTCCATCAACTAATGAATAATGAATAAACAAAATGGGTATATTCATAGAATGGAATATTATTCAGTCATAAAAAGGAATGAGATGCTGATACATGCTACAACATGGACGAATCTTGCAGATACACTAAAGGAAAGAAGCCAGACACAAAAGGCGATATATTATATGATCCCATTTATATAAACTGTCCAGATTAGACAAATTCATAGAGACAGAATGTAGATTAGTAGTTGTCAGGGACTCATGGAAGAGGGAAATGGGGATTGACTGCTCACATGAATAGGGTTTCTTTTTGGAGTGATGAAAATATTCTGGAATCAGATAGTGGTGATGAGTGCATAACTTGGTGAATACACTAAAAATACTGAAACGTATACATGAAAATAATGATTTTTACAGTATGTGAATTATAACTCAATAAAAAACAGCCACATAAGAAGATGCCAATGAACTATTTAAACATTTGCTTAAAATAGACTTCTCAGTTTTATAAGTTACTAAAATTATTCCAGTGTGAGCAGTTGGAAATGGTTGTGTAACCATCAGATGCACTAACAGAAGTGCCCTCTGATGTCAGCTCAGGGCCACCCCTTCCAGGCCTGTAATCTAAACTAGCCCTTCTTGAAATGCTGCCACTTCGCAGATGTTTGTCAGTTCACATCCAAAAATAGCCCCGAACCACTTGACTGGGTTCCATTTAACAGGATGGAAGTGTCACAACAGGCTTCCCAAACTCAGCAGA